GATGTACTATGTGATTTTGTTATCAAGGCATGGAATGATATTAATGTGGAGACAGTTATCAAGTCTTTTAAAAAGTGCGGAATATCTAATTCAATGGATGGCATGGAGGATGACATGTTGTGGGAGGACGAGGATGAAACAGAAGCCGAAGCCACGTCATCTGATTTGGAATTTGATCCTTATGATGAAGCAGCCATAAATGTATCTCAGGATGTACTTGAAGAACTTATGATGTCAGATGTTGATGATGTGGATTTTGAAGGTTTTTAATACATGATGACGTCAGTAATAATCATGTGCTAATAACATTTTTAACTTGTCGGGTAATTTGCTTTTAAAATATTGTGACTTAGTAAATTAAATGTGTGCATGTGTATGTATGTATACATACAGTATATATGTATCTCTGGGGGAAATGTAAGTGGTGTAACTCTGGGGTAATGTAAGTGGTGTAACTCTGGGGTAATGTAAGTGGTGTAACTCTGGGGTAATGTAAGTGGTGTAACTCTGGGGGTAATGTAAGTGGTGTAACTCTGGGGTAATGTAAGTGGTGTAACTCTGGGGGTAATGTAAGTGGTGTAACTCTGGGGTAATGTAAGTGGTGTATCTCTGGGGGTAATGTAAGTGGTGTATCTCTGGGGGAAATGTAAGTGGTGTAACTCTGGGGTAATGTAAGTGGTGTAACTCTGGGGTAATGTAAGTGGTGTAACTCTGGGGTAATGTAAGTGGTGTAACTCTGGGGGTAATGTAAGTGGTGTAACTCTGGGGTAATGTAAGTGGTGTAACTCTGGGCAATGGGTGGTGGTAAACCTGGGGCAATGTGCGGTGGTATCTCTGGGGGCAATGGGCGGTGTATCTCTGGGAGCACGGGTGTAGTAACCTCTGGGGTAATGGGTGGTGTGCATCTCGGGGAGTAATGTGGGTGGTGTAACCTGGGGTAATATAAGTGGTGTAACCTGGGGTAATGTGGGTGGTGTAACTCTGGGGTAATGGGTGGTGTAACCTGGGGTAATGGGCAGGTATCTCTGGGGGTAACGTAAGTGGTGTGCATTCTGGGAGTAATGTGCGGTGTAACCCTTGGGGTAATGTAAGTGGTGTATTCTGGGAGTAATGTAAGTGGTGCATCTCTGGGGTAACAATGTGCGGTGTAACCTGGGGTAATGTAAGTGGTAACTCTGTAATGTAAGTGGTGTATCTCAAATGGGCAGGCCCTGGGGTAATGTAAGTGGTATCTCTGGGAGCAATGTAAGTGGTGTAACTCAAAATGTGGGTGTAGTATCTCTGGGGTAATGTATGGTGTAACTCTGGGCAATGGGTGGTGTATCTCTGGGGGTAATGTGGTAAGTGTAACTCTGGGGGTAATGTGTAAGTGGTGTAACCTGGGGCAATGTGTAAGTGGTGATTTCTGGGGTAATGTGTAAGTGGTGTATCTCTGGGGTAATGTAAGGCAGTGTAACCTCAGAGTACGTATGGTGTAACCTGGGGTAATGGCATGGTGCATCTCTGGGGCAATGTAAGTGGTGCATCTCTGCAATGTAAGGTATCTCTGGGAGTAATGTGGGTGTAACTCTGGGTAATAAGTTCATGTAAGTGGCGTATCTCTGGGAGTAATGTAAGTGGTGTATCTCTGGGGGAAATGTAAGTGGTGTAACTCTAGGGTAATGTAAGTGGTGTAACTCTGGGGTAATGTAAGTGGTGTATCTCTGGGGGTAATGTAAGTGGTGTATCTCTGGGGGTAATGTAAGTGGTGTAACTCTGGGGTAATGTAAGTGGTGTAACTCTGGGGTAATGTAAGTGGTGTATCTCTGGGAGTAATGTAAGTGGTGTATCTCTGGGGGTAATGTAAGTGGTGTAACTCTGGGGTAATGTAAGTGGTGTAACTCTGGGGTAATGTAAATTTTGTTATCGTTGTTCCTGTCATACACTCAAACTTAGGTTCATACAAAAACAAACTCCTTACTGTGACTCCCATAACGAGAGATCACTAAACAAGGAACTAATAAACACAATGAACGTGGATGTTGATTGTTGTCTTATGATCAGGAAGCAGAACCATAACCAATATACAGACACACTGCTTGATGGATGGACTGATGAAACTTATAACTAAACTCTGAGACAATATTGTTATAACTTGGAAAATAAGAGCAGTTAGACAGGCAATCATTCATCTCATGGCTGGACATCTAATTCTTAAAATTTGAAATATTTTTTGGAAACTTAAACCTGAAAAATATTACATACTATTTATGAGTTAAATAAACACTGTAAACAATAAATATTAATATACAATACAGTGAACCCTCGAAGATCTGGACTAAAAGGGGGGACCACCTGTCATAAAAAGCTGATTGTCCGAATCTTCCGGCGAATGTACAAAGTGTATAAAAACTATAACTGATATAAAAAACACTAAAAATACAGTAATGTAGTCTCACTTGCCCTATGCAGTGGATAGATGAGTTTATGTTACTGTGATTATATAGTGGGGACTGAGAACGACTTATTATTATGAGTCAGAGGAGCAGGGATGTCGTATTCACCAGAGACACGAGCCACGGACACACCAGACTCTAACTTCTTTATTAACTCAAGTTTCTGCACAACAGATAAATGTATACATGCTTTCTCTTCACACCACCACCACTTGCTTTAGATGCCATGATTGATCACTATTAAGTACTATGCATATGTCAGTAAATGTAATAACAGTATATCCAGTGAAATATGGCAGGGAGCGATGAGTTACAGCAGCCGAAGCACTAACTAGCAGATGCAGTTACTCATTCCCCTTACTTGCATCCGTTGCCAGGCGTATGATTGAAATAGGTATGGGAGAAATACATATATTTTAAATTAATTTGAAAACGGTGACAGGCATAGTGATAAATAAAAAAATAAATAAACTATGCATTTTTCTATTATAACATAATAAGAAACATTGTATCATTACTAGAGTGAATTAAATAATATTCCCACAAACAACAACTGACAACTGTTGATGCTTCCCACCTCCTCAGACACCTGTATCCAGCGTGCCCGACCAGTGCCTACAGGCCTAAAATATTCTTTGCTCTGTTTTGGGAATGCTTCTTTGGGAGGCTTCTTAGCCCAGAACCCAAAAAATTTTGTCCGAATCTTGCAAAATCCGGATTTACCGGGTCCGGATATTTGAGGATTCACTGTATTGTATATTAATATTTATTTATTGTTCACTATCACTTGTACTAATCATACTATCAATATTTACACACTCACACTGCCAATATTTACCAACTCACACGACTAATACTTACACACATTGCCAATAATTACACACTCACACTACCAATACTTACACACGCACACTGCCTGTATCAGCTCCTAAGAAAGCTGTGTGATCTCGACTGAGGACCAACCAATGTCTCACTGGAGGGCCAGCCAGACACAAACTTGGGGCATGAAAACTCATCACTTCTTTCTAGTCATAAAAATACCTCTCTTCAGAACATGAATTACCCTCATCTTAAACACCACATCTGACAGGCTTTCCAAAGACCATTAGAACCAACTAACATTGTAAAAATAAAAAAATAAACATATAATTTCATCTATGTTACCCAACATTCACTGCAGAAAGCTTTGTGAAATTCCAAAAGATCATCCTAAGACCAATAGCATTAACCCAGGATCTGCTTAAATAGGCTATGAAGAAGCAACTGCCAACAGGTCAATCAATCAAAGCTGACCATTTTGAGCTTTTTCTACACTAAAAAGAACCCATAAATTTTTCATCATAATACATCTCTGTAATATGTGTTGAGCAACCCAGCCAGTACTGTACCTTATAACAACTTACCTCTCTTGCACATGCTCCACAAGCTGTTCAGTAAGAGCTTGAAATTTGTCCTTGAGAACAACCAGGTGATCATAAAACTCCTCTCCCAGTGACGACATTGATGATGAATCACTGTCAGTATGCGATGGCGATGACACTGAAGTGCCATTAACTTCTGGTTCACTGAGTTCCTCTGTCAAATGTATAACACTAATTAATTATCTGCAGATCTGAATATCTCAGTACAGTACTGTCCACAAATTAACATAAACTGCTGACAGTCATTATATACCTAAAAATGGAGAACATATGATCAGGACCAATGTCATGAGTTGATAGAAACTGGGAGTGTCAACTTAGCCACTAGGTTATGACATCACTTATAGGGGAGGGGGTATCTCGGTGTATGTGTCCCTCCCAATCAATATGTATTTCAGTATATGTGTCCTTCCAAAGCATAATGCATAGGAGGTTCACACACTTTCTCACATTTATATGACTGGTACACCCATCAATAAGGATATTGCAACCCTTGGGTCCGATGGAAATCAGAATGAGCAAGTACATATAGACACAAATTTTTCTGTTGGGTTGGTACCTCTGACTATATAGACCTAATAGCCTTTGTCATGCAATGCTGTGTGATTTAGACTACTGTACTGAAATATTTCTAAGACACTGTGAGGAATTGACTCAATGTGCACAGGAAAGCAAGTACAATAATACATGCATTGAGGATGGGATGTAGGGAATACTTGTAAATAACACTTTTTAGGAAGATAGGAATGTGGTAATGATAGCAGAGTTGAGCAGAGCTCACATGGGTCTGTTAATGACATGTGGACATTCAGGTATTGAGAGAATCTTGAAGGGAAGATCAAAACATTCATGTATTGAGAGAATGGAAATAAAAAAAAATGGTAAAAAGCATAAAATTCAGAGGTATATGGCAAGAGTGAAAAAGGGAATACAAATTCAAGGAGATGGGAGGGTGGGGTGAAGGGTGCAATGGAAGTTAAGAAAATGGACACCCAGGAAGCAGCAGTGTACCTGATAAGATTGCAAGGCATCAAGTAGTGCTACAACAGTAAGAGTGAATGAAGAAACAGTCTGTGTTTGCTTTTGGTTCAGGCCACCCTGAAATACTGTATAGAAGATGACTTACAAGGGTGAACAACTGTGTTTACATTCTGCTCTCAGAGGTGTGAAAAATCTTGTATGCATGTATTTCTTTGAAGTACCTATTATTATTAACTCCACTGACATTTACAGTGGGTGGACTTTATACATCATTTATAACTTGTGAATACAACAAAGAAGTTAACCAACCTATGACTTCTAAGACTCTATTAGTGGCAGTATTGAAGCGTAAAGGACCAAGATCTGTCCCAATGCACTCTTCAGCTTCTGCTTTCATGCACAGCCATGACTCTATGCGGGTCTTCTCAGACGGAGACACTTGAGTACTTCGAAGAATCTCAGAGAGTAGGTCCTCTGCACTTGAGACAAGGAGTTGCCACTGAGATGCAGCAAACTGAAATCTACAGAATAATAACAGCGTTACATTCATAATTACCCTAATCTATCTCTATCTTAAATAATATTTAGGGGGATTTGTTTGTAATGAGATCTATATTAGGCCACAACAGGTATATTCAAACAAATAAATAACAAGTTACTGAAGCTGTATTGTTGTTTCAAGTGAATGATCTGGATTTAAAATTGAATGTAGTAAATAAACCTTTTTACTTAAAAAAAGTCAGAAGTTCACATACAGCATAGAATTTTTGATTTACTGTACTTGGAAATTTCCATTTCTGGCTTAACACTCTCTAGAAAGGGTCAAATCATAAGACAGTAGAGGGAACTCATTATGGCTCCCTTGAGCTCTTTGGATGTTCTCCAAGGGTCTGCCAGGATTTATCTGTTGATTATTATTTAATAAATCACCCTTTCTTCCACCTCAATAAAAGTGACATTCTATTTAGGTTGCTATTTTCCTCCAGGAAAGAGTGGGAACGAAAAAACTGGAGTTGAATTTGAGCCAGTGTCTGCATAAACAGTGACCACCACACCACAGTACTGGCATCACCCTCTATATATTTGTATGAACCCAGTTCAATCACCAAAGACACATCCAAGACGTGTACTAGACAAATGAAATATGAGAAGTGGCATCCTGTGGTGAAGGGATAAGGCTACTTTTTTAAGCTTAAAAAAGCTAAGTCTCTTGCCTTAATTCCAAGATTACAGGTGTGATTAGATAAGATTTATTTCAGATCAAGTGTCATTACATGATACAGTATTGACTATTGGTGTATGACTGGCAAATTTGCCCAAAACATGTTTGAGAAAATGCCTCTCACAGATCTGCCAACTAACAGTGGCTGTAACTATTAAGATTAATGTGTTTGAATGGAATTTGTTTAATACAATTTGATTTAAATTATTAACATTGATAAAAGTAGAAATGCAATGTATGAGTAATACTTATCAATAATATTAATAAAACAACCAATAATAATAACTGACACATTCAAAACATGAGAATTACTGTATTATTTTTCACCTTTATCACTGTGTGGGTAAATATATTATGAAACTATTATGAACACTGGTGATGTTGTCTTGCTGGTGTGATAATGGTAGAAGGGACAAGTTTACTACTGGTGATGTTGTCTTGCTGGTGTGATAATGGTAGAAGGGACAAGTTTACTACTGGTGATGTTGTCTTGCTGGTGTGATAATGGTAGAAGGGACAAGTTTACTACTGGTGATGTTGTCTTGCTGGTGTGATAATGGTAGAAGGGACAAGTTTACTACTGGTGATGTTGTCTTGCTGGTGTGATAATGGTAGAAGGGACAAGTTTACAACTGGTGATGTTGTCTTGCTGGTGTGATAATGGTAGAAGGGACAAGTTTACTACTGGTGATGTTGTCTTGCTGGTGTGATAATGGTAGAAGGGACAAGTTTACTACTGGTGATGTTGTCTTGCTGGTGTGATAATGGTAGAAGGGACAAGTTTACTACTGGTGATGTTGTCTTGCTGGTGTGATAATGGTAGAAGGGACAAGTTTACTACTGGTGATGTTGTCTTGCTGGTGTGATAATGGTAGAAGGGACAAGTTTACTACTGGTGATGTTGTCTTGCTGGTGTGATAATGGTAGAAGGGACAAGTTTACTACTGGTGATGTTGTCTTGCTGGTGTGATAATGGTAGAAGGGACAAGTTTACTACTGGTGATGTTGTCTTGCTGGTGTGATAATGGTAGAAGGGACAAGTTTACTACTGGTGATGTTGTCTTGCTGGTGTGATAATGGTAGAAGGGACAAGTTTACTACTGGTGATGTTGTCTTGCTGGTGTGATAATGGTAGAAGGGACAAGTTTACTACTGGTGATGTTGTCTTGCTGGTGTGATAATGGTAGAAGGGACAAGTTTACTACTGGTGATGTTGTCTTGCTGGTGTGATAATGGTAGAAGGGACAAGTTTACTACTGGTGATGTTGTCTTGCTGGTGTGATAATGGTAGAAGGGACAAGTTTACTACTGGTGATGTTGTCTTGCTGGTGTGATAATGGTAGAAGGGACAAGTTTACTACTGGTGATGTTGTCTTGCTGGTGTGATAATGGTAGAAGGGACAAGTTTACTACTGGTGATGTTGTCTTGCTGGTGTGATAATGGTAGAAGGGACAAGTTTACTACTGGTGATGTTGTCTTGCTGGTGTGATAATGGTAGAAGGGACAAGTTTACTACTGGTGATGTTGTCTTGCTGGTGTGATAATGGTAGAAGGGACAAGTTTACTACTGGTGATGTTGTCTTGCTGGTGTGATAATGGTAGAAGGGACAAGTTTACTACTGGTGATGTTGTCTTGCTGGTGTGATAATGGTAGAAGGGACAAGTTTACTACTGGTGATGTTGTCTTGCTGGTGTGATAATGGTAGAAGGGACAAGTTTACTACTGGTGATGTTGTCTTGCTGGTGTGATAATGGTAGAAGGGACAAGTTTACTACTGGTGATGTTGTCTTGCTGGTGTGATAATGGTAGAAGGGACAAGTTTACTACTGGTGATGTTGTCTTGCTGGTGTGATAATGGTAGAAGGGACAAGTTTACTACTGGTGATGTTGTCTTGCTGGTGTGATAATGGTAGAAGGGACAAGTTTACTACTGGTGATGTTGTCTTGCTGGTGTGATAATGGTAGAAGGGACAAGTTTACTACTGGTGATGTTGTCTTGCTGGTGTGATAATGGTAGAAGGGACAAGTTTACTACTGGTGATGTTGTCTTGCTGGTGTGATAATGGTAGAAGGGACAAGTTTACTACTGGTGATGTTGTCTTGCTGGTGTGATAATGGTAGAAGGGACAAGTTTACTACTGGTGATGTTGTCTTGCTGGTGTGATAATGGTAGAAGGGACAAGTTTACTACTGGTGATGTTGTCTTGCTGGTGTGATAATGGTAGAAGGGACAAGTTTACTACTGGTGATGTTGTCTTGCTGGTGTGATAATGGTAGAAGGGACAAGTTTACTACTGGTGATGTTGTCTTGCTGGTGTGATAATGGTAGAAGGGACAAGTTTACTACTGGTGATGTTGTCTTGCTGGTGTGATAATGGTAGAAGGGACAAGTTTACTACTGGTGATGTTGTCTTGCTGGTGTGATAATGGTAGAAGGGACAAGTTTACTACTGGTGATGTTGTCTTGCCACTCTTCTACAGTGTATCATTGCCTCCCTAATGCTGTATCTTCACCAGAGCTTGTAAGGACCACTAACAATCCATAACGATTCCCTGTGCTCATGTAGTAAATTTTTATGTGAGATATCCAGCTATATTCACTCTTCTATTTTCCTACCCAATTCTTTTCCCCTGTTCAGACTCTGTTTTATCTTTCCTCCTTAATTGAAACACCATTTAATGCAGACTGTCTTTTAAGTAACTAGCAGGTCTCCACAAATAAACAAAACCATACATGAAGATGGTATGATATAAGCTTACTTGAATAAGTCCTCAGTATCAAGTGATCCTGCATCTTCTAAGCCTATAACAGATGTATCATTTGTCCCTGTTGACTGCTGAATGGTTCCTAGTGACTGCTGGACACTACTCTGCATACCAGTTAATGTAGACTGTCTGCTTCCTGACTGATGCTGTGAAGTAAACACTTATTACTTTAAGAGAATATATTAGTCACAATAAACCATAGCACATTGTTTCATCTTTAATAACGAGAGAGTGAATACAGTACAGGTACATTAAAATAATTACCCTAAGAGTTGTTTGTGCAGAACAGGGAGTTGTTGTGGTAGTAGACCCTCGAGCACTGTTCTGTATAGCCATGTTGACTGCAGGACAGTTCAGAATGTAGCGGGCTAAACCTCCATATTTAAGTGTGTTGAAGGTGGCATCAAAATTTTCAGGAGATGGAGATACACAACACAACATCAAACTTAAACTGTTGCCCCCAAAAGCATCCTGCAAAATAGGTCATATTTTTTTATGATTATGCTCCCCAAACATTTTAGTCAATAAAAACATTAACTTAGTTTGTCAAGGACTGAACATGTCTGCCAAAACCTATAATTGAAGTTCTTTATATTTTGGCAAATAGTTACCACATGAACAAAGCAGTTATTAATGCATGCAATATGAAATAACATTTAGGTCACAAGAGTGAAAGTAGCCCGAGGAAAAAACCAGCCAAGGACACATGTGGAAAGCCTTATTATGATGACAAGTACAACACACCAGGTACACCATTAACTATGATGACAGCAACAAGTGACAAGTACAACACACCAGGTACACCATTAACTATGATGACAGCAACAAGTGACAAGTACAACACACCAGGTACACCATTAACTATGATGACAGCAACAAGTGACAAGTACAACACACCAGGTACACCATTAACTATGATGACAGCAACAAGTGACAAGTACAACACACCAGGTACACCATTAACTATGATGACAGCAACAAGTGACAAGTACAACACACCAGGTACACCATTAACTATGATGACAGCAACAAGTGACAAGTACAACACACCAGGTACACCATTAACTATGATGACAGCAACAAGTGACAAGTACAACACACCAGGTACACCATTAACTATGATGACAGCAACAAGTGACAAGTACAACACACCAGGTACACCATTAACTATGATGACAGCAACAAGTGACAAGTACAACACACCAGGTACACCATTAACTATGATGACAGCAACAAGTGACAAGTACAACACACCAGGTACACCATTAACTATGATGACAGCAACAAGTGACAAGTACAACACACCAGGTACACCATTAACTATGATGACAGCAACAAGTGACAAGTACAACACACCAGGTACACCATTAACTATGATGACAGCAACAAGTGACAAGTACAACACACCAGGTACACCATTAACTATGATGACAGCAACAACTGACAAGTACAACACACCAGGTACACCATTAACTATGATGACAGCAACAAGTGACAAGTACAACACACCAGGTACACCATTAACTATGATGACAGCAACAAGTGACAAGTACAACACACCAGGTACACCATTAACTATGATGACAGCAACAAGTGACAAGTACAACACACCAGGTACACCATGAACTATGATGACAGCAACAAGTGACAAGTACAACACACCAGGTACACCATTAACTATGATGACAGCAACAAGTGACAAGTACAACACACCAGGTACACCATTAACTATGATGACAGCAACAAGTGACAAGTACAACACACCAGGTACACCATTAACTATGATGACAGCAACAAGTGACAAGTACAACACACCAGGTACACCATTAACTATGATGACAGCAACAAGTGACAAGTACAACACACCAGGTACACCATTAACTATGATGACAGCAACAAGTGACAAGTACAACACACCAGGTACACCATTAACTATGATGACAGCAACAAGTGACAAGTACAACACACCAGGTACACCATTAACTATGATGACAGCAACAAGTGACAAGTACAACACACCAGGTACACCATTAACTATGATGACAGCAACAAGTGACAAGTACAACACACCAGGTACACCATTAACTATGATGACAGCAACAAGTGACAAGTACAACACACCAGGTACACCATTAACTATGATGACAGCAACAAGTGACAAGTACAACACACCAGGTACACCATTAACTATGATGACAGCAACAAGTGACAGGTACAACACACCAGGTACACCATTAACTATGATGACAGCAACAACTGACAAGTACAACACACCAGGTACACCATTAACTATGATGACAGCAACAAGTGACAAGTACAACACACCAGGTACACCATTAACTATGATGACAGCAATATTAATCCTTGGAACTGTCAGTTGTGGCTACAGAGCAAGAAAGAATTTTCAGAGTCACACACAATTATACTTAAAAGTCTTTGACTTTTATTATGTCCCTAACACCCCTACAGCAGCCTTAATGATCTTTTGCATTAGTCTGTAATATAAATGCACATACCAAGTTAAAATACTGGGTATAATATACCAATAAACACCAATGCAACAATATTTCAGAAAAAAACCAATTACCTATATACAGTATAAAGACTTCACACAGAACACTACACTTATATATACAGTACAGTACAGTCTATGGTTAACTTGAAAATATCTGTACTGTACCCCCTGCTGTTGGTGGTACAGCGGTAATGCGTGTAACTCTCACCAATATGTCAAGGTTCGAGCCTCAGCCCGGACACACGTGAGAAGGGTGTTAGCCAGTGTGACCCTCACTACCAAACACCACAGGTTTCCGGATCCCCAGTTTCCTCCTGTACTAACACTGGATAGAGCGCCCAAACGGCTAGTAAACTGATAAGTGGCAAAAATTATAAAAAGAAAAGAAAACAGACAAGGGGTCCATTGTTTAATAACAGGATACACTGCCCAGATGACACGCTACTGCACAGAACACCTACTACAAGGATCCCACCTGTACCAGTGGTTGACTCAGGTCTAGTGGAAATTTCCTTCAGGGGCTGAAGCTCTTTGAATGCAGTAACTCATGCACTTCACATCTAGAGGTGAGATAAATCAATTCTAATCCAAATGAAACCTGATCAGGTCCAATCTAATGTCAGATTCTGGTAAGTTTGGGATTGAAAAATATCAGACTTTAAAGTTCAAAGATGGATAGGATTCACTCTTATGGAGTATTTTAGGTGAGGGTTAAATTCAAATTAGCTTGAGCAGACTTAATTAAATTCCAAATGTTAGATCAGTTCAGAAGTCAGCTTATAAAAGAGTTTAAGCTGCAAGTTCATGTTAAGTGGACACCACATTGTTTGACACAGTAACATGTGGGTTGCTTGATCATTTTTTTTCCCCAGGATTTGGAGTACCAGACCTACAATGTACAGTAAACCCTCTGTAACTGCCTATGAAGACTGTTCAAATCACTAGATTCACCCATAAAAGTAGCATATGAATACCAATAACAAAAGCACATAATACAGTAATAATGAAAGCATAATAAGTGCCAAAATTATACAAGTTAGTGCTCAAAGTGTGTTGCTGTCACCTGCTTTAGTAATGCAGCAGCGTTCTTAGCAACAGTGCTCCACCACAGACCCTCAGACTTCTCCACACACTCACCCCACACCTTCCCGATGTAAACTCGTAGATACATAAAACTTTATACCTTATGATAAATACATTATTTCTTTTATTTCTTTTTGCACTTTCTGTATGTAAAAGTGAGTGCCTATGTAACTGAGTAAAGAAAACAAAGAAAATAACATATACAGTGGCTCCTCGGTTAACGAACACAATTCGTTCCAGAAGGTCGCTCGTTAACCGAAAATTTTGTTAACCGAAACCATTGTTTCAATGGGATTTTGGGTAATTGGTTCCAGCTCACCGAAAATTACATACAAACTAAAAATAAATGCAATAAAGTACACTTACTTTGAGGTGTGCATGTAGAAGGCTCCTGGTTGATGATGATGATGATGAGAATTAGAATGGGGGTGGAGGAGAAGGGAGAAGAGAAGGCACTGGGGTGGAAGAGAAGTCACCCCATGCCGCCATTTCACCCATAAAATTTTAGTTCACTTGGTGTAATTCAAGATTGTTTTCTTTAAATCAACACTGCACTGCATTATATATTGTCAATATGTAAAATAAACTTCAGAATGACCAATAATTGTACTGTGAAAATGTAAAAATAGTTTATGTTCACGAGAGTCTCAAGCAAGAAGCTTCCTCCACTGAGCAAGGACACACACTGACGCCATTTTGGGTGTGTTGAGTGGCTGTTTGGCGTGCTAAAAACTAGTTCCCTGTACTTCAATTATGTTAAATAATTGTTAAAATGACTAAAAACTTTAATATAAGACTTGAAAAATTATTGAATAGTGCAACCTTCTTGATATTTACTCAAATGGTAACGAATTTAAGCCCTAAGACCAATTACTGTATTGGCGGACTAATACTACAGCTGGTGAGCAGGTGAAAACATGTTGGGAAAAATTCGTAAGGAATTCGTTAACCGAAATTTTTTTGTTAACCGAAGTGAAGAATCTTATGAAAGGTAATTCGTTAACCGAATTTCGTTAACCGGGACGATCATTAAAAGAGGGATCACTGTATGTATCTACCAGAAACTATGAGTTGAAAAATAATCATAACATAACATATACTACTGTATTGTAGCTCACAGATGGGGAATGGATGGAAATGTCCACACTCGGCCTGGCAATTACTTTTGGCGTTCATTTTAAATACAATACAGTAATTTGTTCCCAAACATAGCTAAGAGTTGGCACTATCCCCCTCTATGACAATGGGCTCTCTATACCTGCCACCACACATGACCTGGGTTTGTTCCCCACAATTGTGGTCACAGCTTCATTCACGGCCACATCATATAGATTTTTATTTTTTAAATATAATTATTTAGCCAGACTTTTAGACAAACTATTCTGGATTATTTTAGTAAAAAATGGAGTTTCTAACTTAATTAGAACTGCTTTGACAGACTCCAGTAGTTTGGACTCTTGGAAAACATTCCCTAACACCCAGAAATGTACTGGGGATGTGGGCTAGTGTCTGTCTGTGCAAAATGTCTAGTTTAGACACCCGGAAACATTTCCCAGAAATCAGAAAAGATTCCTGGGATAAGGAATTTTTCCGGGTTTGAAAAAGTCGTCTCGTTATCTGGAAATCTCTCAGCCCCGAAAGTGTTTTGCACCAACTGTTCCGGCTAATGGGGATATCACTGCATCAATATTTATTAATCATTCAGAACTTTTTTATACTGTACAGTATTACCCATAAGAAATAAGATGCATTAACAGTGAATTATATTTTAATTTATGAAGTAGTAACCAGTACCACTATACAGTAGTCCCTCGGTTAACGAACACAATTCGCTCCACAGAGTCGTTCGTTAACCAAAAATTTTGTTAACTGAAGTAAAAAAAAAAGGCAGTAAAGTACACTTACTTTGAGGTGTGTATGTAGAAGGTTCCTGGTTGATGATGATGATAGGAATTAGAAGTGGGGGTGGAGGAGAAGGGAGAAGAGAAGGAAATGGGGATGGAGGAGAAGTCACCTTTCAGGGGTCCCATGCTTGATGCAGTCATTTCACCAATAAAATTTTAAGTTCACTAGGTGTAATTCAAGATTATTTTACTTAAATCAACACTGCATTGCGCTATATATTATCAATATGTTAACTAAATTTCAGAATGACCAATAAGTTCAATGTAAAAATGCAAAAATATTCAAGACACCAATATAATAGATGTTCACTCCACTGTCAACAAAGCCAAACTGACGCCTGGTGGGTGAGTCAAGCGGCTGATGGGAGCACAAAAAACTAGTTCCCTGTACTGCATATATTATCAATATGTTAATTAAATTTTAAAATGATTAATAATTTTAATATAAAAAATGCAAAAAAAATTAAAGAGCACAACTTTCTTGATATTTAATCACTGGAAACGAATGTAAACATAGAACAGATTACTGAATTGGCAGATTAGCCCATCAGCTGATGCTCACAACAAAATGTGTTGTTCGTAAGGATTTCGTAAATCAAAGTTTTGTTCGTTAACTGAATTGAAGATCCATATGGGAGGTAATTCGTTAACCGAAATTTCGTTAATCAAACCGTTCGTTAACCGAGGGACCACTGTACAAAGTTCCAGTTCCGGCCGGAACCGAAAGTCATAAAAATCAAGTTGTTGTTAATGCTTTTCTTGCTTTTTTAACAGGAATTAGCCTACCCGGGCACAGGTCACTGACCCATATCAGGATCGGGGGTCAAAAATATATAATAATAATAAAGAACTATCACCTCATTCACTGCTGCACAATGTAAAAAAATCACACTTGCTCAGTGAGTTCCACACATGACTTTGTGTGATGGTGGGGATGGTCAGGACAGTGACCCACCAACAAGTGAGAGTGGGACAGGCTGTATTCCCTCCACTTTCAGTGTACCACATACTTCCATGTTGAACTATACAGTGTTGTACCTGCACTGCCTGTGTATATACAGTCTCTCCTCGACTTACGACGGGGTTCCGGACCGACGACCAGGTCGTAAGTCGAATTGGTCGTAAGTCGAAAATGCAAAAATAATACATAGAAATTCTAAAATGAAATACAGTACAGTAAAAGTAATCAATAATGAAGAACGGATACAGTGCTACTGTGCCCTTACCTTTAATGTAGTCAGCTGAATACACACGGGGCCCCAATAATTTTTTAATTAAACATGGAGACTACATTAATTGGATGAAGCAAAGGAGGAGACAGGGCTGGGTGGGTCATCAATTTCGCCCTTCAGACAGGCTAACATACAGGGGATACTTGCTTGTTGAAGGTATTGGATCATCTTTAGGGAGTGAAGAGGCAGCACTGGTGGGGTGTGAGGAGACAGCAGTGGGGGACTTCTTAAAATATATGTCCAATTTAGACTGCACAGTTTGCCTTTTCTTTTCATTGTAAATCTCCCTGTAGCAAGCAAGTGCATCTTGGATCTGTCTGTCAACTTTTGCAAAACGCTCAACATTTTGATCCATTTCTTCAAACATTTGCATCCCCTTATTACTAGTAGCAAATGCCTTTGCCTTGTCCTTCAAGGTTGCGTGAAATGGTTGCTACCGTTTTTCCATTTTCATATTGCATTATTATTTTCATTTTCATCTCAAAAGTAATTGACTGTCTCCTTTTCTTATCAGCACCACGAGAACTCTCACTTTTACGCTTGTCAGCCATTTTAAAGGGAATTAGAAACAAAAATTTTGTCAGTACACAGCGCGATCACTAACAACAACGACGGCCAAACACCAACTTAGCGGGCTACAGTGTGGATGCTGTACACCATGAGGCGGCCCAGCCCACGCTGTCGTACGGGACAGAAACGTTTCGGTACTAGAAAATACGTACAGTAATTTGAAAAATATTTTATATGACTATGGCGGTCGTATGTCCAGGTTGTCGTAAATCGAGTAGGTCGTAAGTGAGGAGTATCTGTACTTGTTTACCTGCATTATTTATCTACAGCATACTGAATCACTGAAAAAAACACATACGATTTGTTTTCAATTGTTGCAAGTCTTTTCCACGTGGTGCAACATGGCCAGAATCAAGAGCAACACAAGTATATGAAAAAGCCATTTAAAAGAAAGGGTGAAGGTTCAGAATACAGTACTACACATGAACAAGTAATGACAAACTTACCTTCAAGATATGAGTAAGTCTTGACTCCCTGTAAGGAATGGGACCAACATACGATTGATCTGCTAAGCAATGAATAACATTGCCCAATGCTTTCAAGTCAGAGTTTAGGAAAAATGATTCTTCATTTGGGAGGCCAAAACCACTATATCCAAGCTGCATCAATCGCTCAGAGCCACCAAGGTCTACGAAGTTCATACGAGAATAGAGGTACTTCAATTTTCCATCTGAAATATTAAAGAAAATAAATACAGTACCCATCTCTTCTTAAATCACTAAAAGAGGACACAAAAAAACACTAGTCAAAGGTATACTATACAGTGAGTTCTGCTCATTTTTATATAATACGCAAAATGTTATGTAAAATATCCATATGCATAGTTGTAGGTGACATGTATAACAAGCTAACCTAACCTAACTTACCCATTAAGATTAGCATCCATCAGGCTTGGCAACCAATATGATTGGGTCCTGATCCTAATAACTGGTGAGGTTTTGGCCTATTAGAATTGGGGCTCATATGAACAGATAACATACACTCTGTACAGTATGTATAATATCATGACCTCTACAGTACAGTACTTGTGAGCCAGGAACAAGAGTTGAGTAGAGTACCTGTCAGAAATTATTTAATGGACTAGAGGCCTATAGTTTTTTTTTTTACAGGGATTAGCCCATCCAGGCACAGGTCAAAGACCCAGATTAAGGCCTGGGGGGAGAATATAATAATATTAAATAAATAAAAAATAAAATAAATAAATATCATGAGAAATTATATGCAGTAAGTATGTTGTGTTGTCAATAGTAAGAGAAACAATTGAGACCCTGCAATTGTGTGTAAATGAGGCAGAAAGTGAGATCAGCAACCTGGGACTTGGTCACAATTTTCGTAATGCCATATGGCAGCAGGGTCTACCATTAGACAACATATTATGCTTCCAATATCTTCCCAGGCAGTAGTACCTCCCTATTTGATAGCTGCCAACTTCCTACTAGTCAAAGGTGTCGAGAATCGGTGTACAGTACAGTATTGTCAACAAAAAAGGTGTTCCAGTATTCTTGATTTCCAAAATTACATAACCTGTACTGTATAGACCCTGTATTATGGAGTTAAAAATTGTTTTTGTATGTATCACTTCTTTATATCCTGTACTGTACTGTGTTAATATGGATCTAGAGGCAGACCTTACTTTGCTGCCACAAAACTGGTCACATCAGTCACTCCTCAGTTGTCATTTATGTCTTTTTATAAATAGTGTACAGTACTTCCTTCTCAAGCAGTGTTATGATGGGTTTTCTAATTTCTTCAGTATATTTGTGGTTCCCTGTTGCTTTGTCTCTCTCCTTTCCTCCCCATTGTTTATCTCATTCTACTTTGCCATATAAAACCATAAAGAAGGAAAATCCACTAATTGGTAACCCAGAGCACTGGTAATGATGCACAGTATTGTAAGCATGATTAAGGATTACATTATTAAGTGTTCTTTTATGTTAAGTACTGGACGACACTACAGTAGGGGTCTTTAGAATGTGAAGAGCATTAGTGTCCCCCAGTCACAACAGAACATAATCTGAGTCACACATTATCATATTAAAGTGAATCTTATGTTTGGTACAGTACAGTACAGTACTGTACTTACCTCTTTTAGATTGCTGGCAATTTTCAATACAGCAAACCCTCAATCTATGATGCTCTTTTTTACAAGGTTTTCCTTTTATACAGTCAGTTTATTCATTATCATCAATTCTTTATGGCCATTTTCCATTCTTGCATATTTTAGCTGCAATTACCTGATGGTAACTGTTGGGTAAAACCTGAATGATACAGTATGTCACCCCCCCCCCCTCCACCACCACCACAAACCCAGGGCACCAGCCCAGAAAATGTAGCAGAGACTAAGGGACAGACTCAGCCCTGGTGACCCAGTTGTCATCAGTCATGTTGAGGCAAAGTTTTACAGCTACCTTCCTAACACCAACCCACAAAGGTTGTAGCTCCCTGAAGTAATTAAAAGCTACCTGCCATTTTTTCATATTTGGTATAAACTCACTTATACATGGTTTAACACAGTGGTCACATAGGTCTAGAATGTTTGATTCTTGCAAAACATCCCTCCCTCACTGTTACTGCCTCCACACATACCATACATACCAGTAACCCACAAACTTCTGTGTTTACACTAATCACTACTATATTTTTCCTACATTAATAAATAATACCCAAGCAAAATCATGTTTAATTTAAAAATGCCTTACTTATAGTATATAAACACAAGTAAACCAGCAATAACTGTAAGTGGTGGGAAGCAGTGAAGTTGGCGAGTGTGAATGTCACTGCTAAAATTTACTTAATGTTTTATCTCAAGTGTTACGACAGTACATCAAGCCAAACAGTACTAAAGCCTAAAGTATTGATGAATAAATACTTTATTTGCTGGCATACAAGTTGACCCAGTGCATAAGTCAACCTTAACTTTTCAGCAAAATAACTCATGTTTAGGTCTATACTTGATCTCTTAATAGCCCCCACAGAAACACAACATCACTGACTCAGGGCTCACCACCTAATCAATGTTATAATATGTAGTGGTAATAAAAGACTGCAATATGATAACATGGGATGTGTAGTGATGCCAACTGATTTCAAGTGGCCCAAGTTAGTTATTTACCAGGAACTTGACCTAAGTCCCCAAGGAACTCTTCCTCCCATCAGAGGCAGCTGTGATATCAGGTCACTTCCTCACTCATTCACACAGCCAGGCTCCTTATTCATCATAACTCTACTAAACTGACTCTCTCAAATCTCCACAGGTACAAAAGAATGAAATATGAAGCTGTCGTGACTCATCCAGTAAAAGTTGTCTCAAAGTAGATACAGTACAGCACAGTACTGTACTGTAGAGCATCAGGTACCGACAGAATGTAAACACTGAGAGAAAGGATTCAAAACAGCATATCACTTATTCAGTACCAGAGATCGTCTGTTTTCGTCAACTCTGGCATCTTTCAATTTGAAATTTGCCTGGAATTTAGCTTCTTTAGTTAGAAGAGCACACCAGAGGACATACCCAGCACAGAGAGACCCCCTGTACACAAATGGTTAATGCACGTCTTTCCTCTCACACGGTAAGGTCCTCTCACCATCAATGAAGGGAACAGGTCCCTAAACATTCTCTTAAAAGCCTCGAGCCAGATCCCTCACCTGGTGTACAGTTATCTTACAAAAGTTATGCTGAGCATCTCACTAGGAAATATATGGTGTCAGAGTAGAGTAGTGCAGCTTCCGTAACCACCTCACTAGCTAAACACTCTTCCAACACAAGATAAATATTTTGCATAATAACAGTAACAAGAAGTACCGTATTTTACGGCATATAAGACGCATTTTTTTCCTGAAAAATGGCAAAAAAATTCAGTCTGTGTCCTATATGTGAAGTTGCAGTCTCCAGTAGGCAAAATTCTACCTAACCCAATTCCAGAATTAGAAATGTTATTGCTCGCTTAAGGATTATTATTATTTTTAATTAACTAAAAAATAATTATTGTAAATATAATAAGTCGATCTATAACTACTCTGTACTTTACTAATGACGATAACCTTAGACAATTAACATCTGTATGGCAGACACCCAACTCTAGAGGTAACTAAGGAGCAACCATTTCTGAACTCTTACAAGCATTACAATCTACTAATGCAATACCTGCAACATTTATTTTTCAATCTGCAAAGACCTGATACAAATAAAGATTTACAGATAACTTTCTTTTTACATTTACATCTGTTAACATCGGTGGCGGCATTGTAGACAGGTTAGACTCGTCACTATAACCACCAGGTTACTGGGCCAAGCTGTTGTTTTTCAACTGATATTTTCGGGTAGATATACGTAGCTTCCTTCATTTATTTTTACTGATATACATGTAAACACCTTCCTACATACATATGGTGAAAAAAATTTAAAGAATTAATTGTCCTAAAGGTAAACACATAAAAGGAATGTACATTTCTTTGCACACGAGGTAGCTGGCTTAGTGGGGGGCGGGAGGATGGCTGGGTGGGTGTGGTGGTAGTGGGGGAGCGTTGCTAGGGAATCGGCGGAGGTAGCATCATCGTTGCTATGGTGTACAGGGAGTACAGATGTACAGTCATGCGCCGGTTAACGTCCTAGATACGTTCTTGGAAACGTGACGTTAAACGAAATGGACGTTGTCCGATCATCACATAAACTTTGTATTTATACTTACGTGTATGAGGAATACTATATACGTACATATACACTTTTACTCTTAAATCACTACTGTAATGTGATACAGGTGATTAATTTTTATCTTTTGTGCAAAATACATGACGTTTATATTAAAATTACTGTATTCATTATTTTACAAGGATTCCAGCAACGCTGGGCAGTTGGGGGAGGGAGGGAGGGAGGGAGGGAGGGAGGGAGGGGAGGTAGTACGTTTGACAGTTGGCACAGGCCCAGGTCTAATGCGTGTATATTTATCAGTTCGTGACTAAGCTTCTCTCTTATAAAAAGCCAGTGAAATGACCTGGGTGAATATAATTAACATTGCTGGGATTCTTGTGACATACAGATTAATTTGAATATAAACATGCTATAATTTGCACGAGACAAAACAATTTTAGTACCGTAATCAAATTAGTACATGTGCACTCCAGCTTTGCACTAACGTCATTTATTTCTATTACGTTTCTTTTAGTATGGTGTGTGCATGTAAATGGATGAAAATAAATGAAGAAATCTATGTAAATCTACCCAAAAATACAGTTGAAAAACTTTTTTTTATAAAATGTACTACAGTACTGTACACTAATGTACAACAATTTTTATCTCTTGAGCAAAATATATGACGTTTATATTCAAATTATTGGCTGTCTTGCAAGGATTCCAGCAATGCAAATTATAATCTCCTAACTTTCGTCTGAGATATTATATAAGATAAAAACTGTAAGCCTAAAAGCCTGGCTGGGGGGGGGGGGCCCTGACGGCTCCGCCACCCAGCGAGGGGTTGAGGGAGGGGGTGGGGGGGTTGAGGTGATAAGTTTGAGGCAAAGGTCTCTTGTGTGTTTATTTAACAGTCCTACTAAGCTTCTCTCATTTTAAAATGCCAGTGATATGACCTACGAGAATATAATTAACATAGCTGGGATTCTTGTAAGATACTGATTTATTTGAATATAAACATGTTGTAATTCGCACTAGACATAACAATTTTAGTACCGTAATCAAATTAGTACATGTGCACTCCAGCTTTGCACTAAGGTCATTTATTTCTTTTACGTTTCTTTTAGTATGGTGTGTGCATGTAAATGGATGAAAATAAATGAACAAATTTATGTAAATCTACCCAAAAATTCAGTTGAAAAACTTTTTATAAAATGTACTACAGTATTGTACACTAATGTACTACATTTTTTATATCTTGAGCAAAATATATGACGCTTATATTCAAATTAATCTCTGTCTTGCAAGGATTTCAGCAAAGCAAATTATATTATCCTAACTATAGTCTGAGATATTATATAAAATAAACATAAAGAAATCACCAATCTTTTATCTTGGAACACGAGGGTGGTGGGAAGATGGAGGGGAGCGGTAGGGGGCGGGAGGTGAGGTGACAAAATGTCTGGTGTTTGTTTGTTTATTTATTTGAGATAAGATGTGACAGTTGGCGCTGAAGGCCTGCGTATTTATTTATCATTACTTAAGAGTGACTCAGCTCTTCTCATAATTTGCCACCCAAACGACCTGGGTGAATATAACTTACATTGGAGGGATTCTTGTAAGATAGTAATTTATTTGAATACCTGTATAAACAAGCTACATTTGTAATAGACATAACAATTTTAGTACCATAATCATTTAGTACATGTACAATACAGGTTTGCACTTAGGTCCATTGTTACTGTACAATATTGACTAAATTCACTAGATAACGTACGCCTGGCAGCACAATCTATAAGAATACGCAATGCATACGTGACTGTGCCCACTCTAGGGCCATTTAGGTTTGCTAGGTCCCATTATTTGAATGGGTTTTTTTCAATTTAAATTTTAATTGTTTATTCCTTGATAGAGGAAGCGGGATCCTAGTGCTGTCACTAGGTACCCCTGTACCATAACACCAGAAGCAACTGGCCAGTGTCACAAGTACAGTATATACAGTACCGTACAGTAATCCCTTGGTTATCGCGCCTACCCAGTAATTGGGACCCCGCCGATAATGAAAGTACAGAACCTATGGGATTTATTCTAATTGGTTCCAGGCACCCAAGACCCAACCCCAAGTTTCCCATTTTACGACCATTTATACCCACTAAATATATATACTGTATAATGTTATGGTAAATATCATAAACACACATAAGCATTGCTAGGTTTATTACAAAGTGATGAAAAGGGTACGCTTAATACTGTAGTCCACAAAACATGTAGCTATGCTTTTTTATTTGGTCCCCGTCATACAAGTCCGTTTTCTCTCACATCAGGACGCCTGAGTCCTCCGTTTTCTCTCTTAATCTTAGAGTGCACCAGAGACTTCACTATACTTAGTAATGCCACAGAATTTGAAATTGCAACCCCAATTGCTACTGGGGTTGCAATTGTTGAGGCAACTAGATATGTCTGATTACAGCAAATGTGTTATTGTCAATTTGTAGGTTTTATCCTCAATAGATGTAGGTTAACATTACACCTGGAGGCAAATGTTTAAAAATAGCCTAAGATAGGAAGCATATTCCTTTAACACATAATATCTGACCAGTATGGGGAGGATCATCGTGTCTCCGTCAGGGGGTCGTGGAGTGGTGGTCCAGCAGGCGTCACGGATTTTTTTTTTGGGGGCCACGGACGTATATGCGATCGGATGTTGATCAGTCAGACGTTAACCGGCGCATGACTGTACATGCAAATGGCGACTGTGTTAAACTTTCATTTGGCTTTAATTTACTGGTTTAGCAACAGAAGTAAACCCTTGTAATTCGCGAGGGTTAGGTTCCAAGGAATAGCGCAAATGGGCAAAACCACAAATAGCAACTTATACTATCTTAGTGCACTACTGTATACCTATACCAAACAACCAACCAGCCACGGCAGCACTCATCCCCTCTTTTAACTTATCTAAAAATTCAACTTTCTTTGTCAGAGTCATCACTGACTTCAGCCTTTTACATTTCACTCCACTAGCATCACTAGCACTGACACTAGACAGTCTTTTAGGGACCATTTTCACATAGAAACACTGAAGTTTTGAGAGTACAATACAAGATGCTGCATCACAAGCAATGGTTGAGTGAGAACAGAGGGAGAGGAGACGCTGCGGGCGCATGGGTGACTAGTTGCGCTGCGGGAAAAGGCTCACAAGCTAGCCACCATCTGCTTACCGTGAATCGTCAAAATAGCGAATCACAAACGAGCGAGTGGCAAGGGTCTACTGTACGGTGTTTTTTTTGTAACTTATTTATTGGTATTATTCTTATTTATTCCTCACATTTACCAGTACTGTATATATATTATTTTAAGAAAACTATGGCTGCAGGAGGAAAATACACACAAAAGTTTTTTCCTAAATACTCCCTGCAGTAAAATATGGTAACTAAATTGTCAGAGCAGACACTTTGTACCCACACTGTGCAACTGCTAACTGGGATCTAGAAAGTTGATCCTGGCCTGGTGCATTTACAACCAACAACCATAACTAGTGAATAGATTGGACGCGTTCTACCTTTTTAGGATACCTTCACACCCGATGACTATCCACTGTGACCCCAGTATGATGGTGAAGGGTAATCTAATTTTCTAATTTATTCTATGTTAAAACTCTAGTCACATATCAGGCCTCTGGGGCCTGGCTCTAAGAAGTATAATCCAAACGTAATGTACAAATAAAGTTTTCCGCAAAGGCTTACCTGGATCACTCCACTGATGTTCCAAAATGAGGGAGAAAATTGCATGTGAACTGGAGGGATCATGACTCTGGATGGCTACAGTGTGGCGATGGACTAGTCCAGCCTCCAGGCAGTTGATGACTTCTGTGATGTTACTGCAGTCAATCACATTCAAGCCAGGAATCACTACACTGCCCTGTTATCAATAGCAATATATTACAATACAGTACTTCTAATTTACTAGTCTTATTTATTAATAATAAAGAAATATACACACAATCAAGAATTAGTTATATGTAAACTGAATTTTCTGTAGTTAATGTTCTAATCCAAGAAGATGGAAAGGACAAATATGGAAATCACTGGACTCTTTATGTTAAATGCAATTATGGGGTATACACACAGCAATGTTCTTTGTATCATAAGAAAAAGAGAATATAACAAAGAGAAAAGTTTATATAAAAACAGCTTTATGTATTAAATGAAAGGTAAAGAAGTCTGGAAGGAAACAAAACAGTTCAAGATTATAATATCTAAAAAAAAAAAAAAAACACACACAACTTATTACTCGAATAAATGTTTTATAACTGCAACATTATCATTTCCCCTGTACTGTACCTCACACCATCGTCACATGTTCAACCACCACCGCTAATACCTACACTAAAAGGCCATCTATTTCAGCTTACAGTCTGCTTTGTTAGTTACAAGTCAAACTCACTTTTCACATATTATATACAGTATGCCTTTACCTTTAGCTAGGTTAGGGGTACTGTATGAGAGCACAGTATAGTAGTTAGTTAACACCGAATCACTCATCTGAACACTATACTATACTGTACATATATTGATCAACATGTATCCTGTACTGTATCTTACTTATAATGATTATGGTATTCTATTATACCTCCTGCTACACTGGTCAGTCTACAGCAGTGCACATATCTACTGTACTATACTTGCTGCTACACTAGATGGTGTAATGTAGTTGATGGGGGTTGGATTGACAGGGATTGGTTGACAGGGGTTGGATTGACAGGGGTTGGTTGACAAGGGTTGGTTGACAGGGGTTGGTTGACAGGTTGAAGTGACTGACCACCACTTATATCTGTAGCTATTCCAGAAGCTGAACTGTAGCTTTGATATGCATTCAAACACCAGCATTGTTTTTGCATCGCATTTTTTATTTTTATGTTAATCTTTCTATTACTTTTTATATCCAAAAACTGTCATACCTATACAGTATTATCCCCATGGGGAACCCTGAAATAGAATGACATCTCTGGCAATACTACATAAAGTTACTATTAAGGTTAATGAATGGCAGGTTTCCCCCATTCTACACTGCCACGTGAGTAAAAAATATGTTCAATCCTTTGCACCCCCCCCAAAAAAGACAGTGTGTTTAGGAAGAGAAATTTTGTCCATAGGATTTACGGTCTCTCCTCGACTTACGACGGGGTTCCATCCCGACGACCAGGTCGTAAGTCAAATTGGTCATAAGTCAAAAAGGCAAAAATAATATTTAGAAAGTCTAAAATGGGTGTCTCTTTTTCTTCTCAGTACCAAGAGAACTCTCACTTTTATGCTTGCCAGCAATTTTAAAGGGAATTACAAACAAAAACAATTTCAGTACACAGCGCGATCACTAACGTCGGGACTCGTAAATAAGTAATGTGAAAAATATTTTTTACGACCATGGCCGTCATATGTCAGGGTTGTCGTAAGTCGAATATGTCGTAAGTCGAGGAGAGACTGTACCTGGTATATGTGATTATGGAAGCCTATGAGAAATTATGTTTTGAGTCATGAAATTTCATGTTAAGTACATCTTTACTTGATCAGATTTTTAGTACAGAAACACTGAAAATCTGAAAAATACATATACAACTGAGAGGCACGTGAATATTCTCCATCTTTGGACATTGATCAACTGGTCACCTTTCACCAGCCTGTGTCAGCTAGCCACCACCACCATCTTCACTGATTTTCACAATAAGCATGCAATAATCATAAGAATACACCTTTCACTAAAACTGCATCTATGCACCTAAGATTCTAGTTGAGTGTGTGCACTTTCTTACATATTTCAAAATATGGAAAACATTTATACATTTTAGGGAACTTTCAATATTTCAATGAACACAATCATACTATACCAAGTCATTCTTAGACAGTTTTCAGGGCTTAAAGAACCTTGAAATGAATAAACACAAATGGATCTATGACTACACCAGTACCAGGTAATACTGTAGTGAGTTAACCCTCCCATAAACTGTCATTTTAACAATTCTTTAAGTCTTTCCAAAACATTTCCTACAGCATCTTGTGATTGTAAACGTGTGTTTCAATGTTTCTGATACTTTGTTTACAATTCCTATGGCCTTTAGTTACATTCTTATATATACTAAGTAAGCACACAAGCTCCCACAGGGTCTCTGTTTTGCATCAATCAATTTTCAGTGTTTAGCTACTTATTTTGTCAAAACAACAGCTATCATTGTCTCAACTTTGTGGCAGTACTGTATTTTCTTTTGTTGATGACATAAAAATTATATAGTATACAGTCTTGTGTTGATATTAAGTGAGCACTGCCTGTATACACTACAGTATAAACTTTTATTTTAAATTTGATTTATTCATTATCAATTTTCCCTGCTTTGGTATTGGTGTTATCCCTATCCCTATTTTCCCCAATAAGGTTTCAGTACAGTAATGTACCAATATTCACTTTCCTTGAATGTAAACCCCTCATATGGTGAGTTCCAACTGTACTTTGTAAAGTTGGAGTAGGTTCTCATCTATAGAGATGGATGGGAAGAAACCCTCCTTCATTTGGGTCTCTAATGTGTAATGCACAAAACTCTTTCCCACTTACCAAGGTTTGCAAAGCACCATTAGTTTTGCAATTTTAAAAATACAGTATTCACTTTTCCAATGGTGTTTTCTCCATGTTACCACTTTTAAACATGAGTATAATCCATATACTGTACCTGCATTCATCTGCCCTTTACACTTCCTCTTTATCCATTGTAATATTACACTAATATTTCCCAACTCCTCTTAATTTACCATATTATCTTCTAAGACATTCAGCTGCATGTAGGAGTTTGATGTGGAGAGTAAATCATAAACAGCATCCCTCTGAACCACCAAGTAGCTCACGTGTACCCGATACTCTCGCCCCGGACACTCCTGCAAGAAAGGTAGTCACTGACGTAAAAAAAAGAGTAAAGATACTACACGAACAATTACTCAATAATCAAGAATCACTCTCCCAATGTCATACGAAAGAGACTTTCCAAATTTAACCATCTCAACAGTGCCTCTCACAATTGTATATAAAGTACATTACATTAGTATAGCCATAGGATTATTACTTCCATTACATCCTCTCTTCTGGTACAACTAATAGATGTTGGATCAGTCTGTCTCAGTTATTCATGGAAGCACTTCTCTTGGGAGAATTTGGGATTCTCCTGACTTCCTTCACATTAAACTTTCAACAAACCAATTCAGTTGTATTTTCAAAGTTTACATTTCTAAATACACATTCAAACTCTCTGGTCTGGCAACTCCAGTGGTCCGGCATGTTTTAAATCTGGTGCCATTAGTTTGCAAGGCAGCTGTATTAGCAGTGCCAAGCCACCAAGTTTCTTTATATCTCCAGTCAATGTCGATGGCTCGACATGGCTACTTGTTACACAACAATATTATTTATTATGTGTTGATAAATACACTACAATATTAGGTGTTGAAGACAGTTGTAGTGGGAAGCACTAACCATCTTGAGCAGTGGCAGCAGAGATGTATGAGGGGGAGGCTGATGACGACGGTCAGCTGGTCAGCCTTGAAACAAGCACTGGAAATTTATTACAATGCAATAACTCATCTGGCATTGGGTGTGGTCCCTTTTTCAGGAAAAGTGATTATTTTATGATAATATTTTATTAACCCAGCACCAACTGAATGCAAATTATATGAGAATTATGGTGACTGCATACTGTGGTGCTAACGGGGTCAAGGGTGGAGTTGTTAAGCCATCCACTCACCTTACCTCCAACACAATTGATTTCCCACTCTAAGGTTTTTTTATTTTATAGTTTATTTTATTTACTTAATAATTGCATTGGAGCATTGAAATAATATTTCCATACCTTTCATGGTTAGCCTTCTCACAGCTAACAAGCAAACGTATGTTTTTTTCTTTTTATAATTTTTACCACTTATCAGTTTACTAGCCGTTTGGGCGCTCTGTCCAGTGTTAGTACAGAAGGAAACTGGGGATCGGGAAACCTGTGGTGTTTGGTAGTGAGGGTCACACTGGATAACACCTTTCTCACGTAAGTCCGCGCCGAGGTTCGAACCTTGACATATTGGTGAGAGTTACGCGCGTCCCACACACAATATTCCTGACACTCTTATTTTATATCTTTATATTACTGTACAGTATTCAGCATTTTCTTTATTCATAAGGCACACTAGCACATTGAAATGACTTTTCCACAAATTCTGTGGTTACTTAACACATAACAATGGCATTACCGCTCAGTCATATGAGAGGTAACTGGCATATTTTGGGATGGTAGAAACTTAACACCTGGAAGGCACTTTTATTATTTATTAAAGTTTGTGTTACATTACCTTATGTGCTTTTAACACAAGTTTTGCATCATATTCGGGTACACACAGACTTAGTATAAGACAGTGGATGATGCAGATGACATATATGTGAAACTGGCAAGCCTAGGGGTTATGCATATGATTACATAGTGGGCTCTCAGAGGTGCCGAACTTGAAAGTTTCAACCTTTACAATATTAAAGATGAGTTTAAACCAATATTGGGGCTCAGCTCATGATCCAATGAAGCAGAAAGACAATGACTAACTGCATCACCTTTGGATCCTTCTATTGTTTCTTTCTAATTCATGAAGCTTTACCATATTTCTCTTTCACAGTTCATTACATCGGAGGTCCCTTAGGTGTGAAACCTCCATCTAACGAACTTTATAGAGAAGAAAATCCATTATATCGAGGGTCCATTAGATGTGAAACCCCCATCTAACGGAATATATAGCGATAGAAGTCCGTTATATGGAGGTTTCACTGTACTGTACTGTACTACATACCCTCATGAGGTTGAACACATGGCGGACAGCTTGTGGCAGTAGACCAAACTCCTCTTCATTCATAGCCCATAGAAAATCTGGGCCAGTGATGGTATAGGTCTTCCCAGAACCTCGTTGGCCATAACCGAGAACAGTTACATTGTACCCTGAAAGATGTTCTTGATTAAAATGACAAAGATAAAAAGTATAAAAGAAAATTGCCTTCATATGAGACAAACACTTCTATCTGACATTTCACTCATTATTTTATTATAAACCCGCAACATTCATTGGTTTAACTTTCATGGATTTGATTATTCATGGGTAGGACCATTGTATACCTGCTCATCATTCACAGGCATGAGATTTGGTTATTCACAGTTTGTGGCCGCATTTTCCCTCAGTTCCACGGGATGCTTGTGTTTTGTGTTTACTGTACCACGGGGGATGCCACACATCACAGTCTTCAGCCTCCAATACAGTAACACCTACAGCTCAGCTACTATTGCTCTTTTTGGTGAATTTTTGTCCTTATTGATGCCTCCTAAAGATACAATGAGTGGGGTGAATGGATCAAATGACTTCAAAAGTAAAAAAAGTTGAATTGCTTGATCGCCTTACTAGGGAAGACAATGCAGCAGTTGTGGGATGCCATAATGGCGTTAATGAGTCTACTGTGTGCTCAATAAGGAAAAATGAAGCAAAGATTTCTGCAAGTGTCTCTACAAGTGTCCCAAAAGTACTAAAGTAATGTTTCAAACCAGTGACATTAATATGGAAAAAGTGGAGCACGCCCTTAATTTGTGGATAAAGGACCAACTACAGAAAAAAGTTCCTCTCATGAGCATCATTTTCATCATTGAGTACAGTACATTACTAAGGCTTTACTTATGTTTTATTTACTGCATTTAACATGCACAATATTACTCACAATAGGTACCTCTTCGAGGGTGTGGATCCTAAACCCCCATTTTTCACAAGAGGTCTTAAGTTTAACATCTGTGGATTTGATATTCACGGTATTTTTGAGGAACCTAACCCCCGCCAATTTCAGGTATAACAAATAACACTTTATTGCGTGTATCATCTCACAGATCACTTGTAACAGTCTAACTAACGTTAGTGGCAGTAACCCTTGTCATGTGATGTCATGGCTCCAGTCACCTCACCTCATACCTGCAGGGTGTTTGGGTAGGCAGAGGCAGCTCCTGTGATCACCTACCCTACCTACCACTCCCAGGCGATACAAAATAGAAAATTTAAAGCTGAGAAAATGGGGACCTATGGAGGGCCTGCCTGAAGAGGGTTTGTAAACAATAGGTGACTGTACAGATGTCGAGGGATAATATCACAGGGAATACCTCACAGGAGATGGAAGGATGACATGGAAAAAATACTGACAATATATCAAGGGAGGGCAATATTCAGATAAACACTGGAATGAAGAAGAAGAATGTTGATCTCACTAACAGGTTATTGGCTTAATTGGAAGATGTAAGATAAGTAGTTAAATCTTTACTTTGGTATAATACAAAACATGACATACCAACACTCACCCTGAAAGAAATTCACTACCAAATCCGCCAAACATGCTTTATAGAGTTCCTTCTGAGTAACGTCTGGGCCAAATACAGCATCAAAGTCACAGAAATGGTCATACCCCAATATGATCTGAGAAGATGCTGGAGCGACCTCAACACAGTTGCCATGGTTTTGTTCTTGTGGTGTATGAGGTCTCACCTGAAACACAAAGTCTCTTTCATATACAATACAGTACAGTACGGTATGTGTTGTTTTATTATGAAGCATGAATATATGAAACATTTATCCTGGAATCCCCCTTCATGGTTGAGTCAAGGACTAGGTAGTTTGAGTGTAATGTACAATACAGGGGATCCCCATTTAGTCACAGTTTGTCGTTGTTTTGGTATTACTGTGTCAAGGAATTAGTGGTGACCATGTTTTAGTTCACATCGTCTGCTATACAGGAGCATCCACGGTCTCCATCACATGTCAAGAAATAAAGGATGATATCATCGGGCATAATTATTACAATTTATAGTGGGATGAATTCAATCATTTTTTCTAGAGATGTTCTTTGGATGACAATAAGAAAATTGAAATGACAACGCACAGGTTAGGATGTTAAGTAAGCTAGGTAAAGTTAGATAGGTTAGGTTAGGTAAAGGTAGGTAGGTTAGGTCCGGTTCTAATAAGTTCTGTGCATTGTCATTTCGATTTCCATACTTAATATCATCCAAACAACATCTCCTGAAAAAATGGTGCAATACCATAAGTTCTTCAGGTGCAAACCGTCTCCTCCACCCTTACTAAAACTCGATGAATATAAATCTCCAACGGAAATACTAGAGTAAAGTACTGTACAATATTCTTTTTTTTTCCTATCTCCCTATGTAAGAACCAATATAAAGTTCCATGAATAGTCACGATGGAAAATTTACGACTGAAAGTTTTGGAAAAAGAATAATTATTGAGTTATAACCCTTCCTGTCCTGCCAATTTTGACCCAACCAAAGATGAGCAGGACTTTGAAGGAGAGGGAAAATGTGTGGGGTAAAAAACCAAAAAATTAAAGTACCAAACCTAATCATTGTAATTTTTCCCCAACCACTGGCATATGATTTTGGTATATTTGCCGGTGTTTGTAGAATATTAGAATATAATTTCCTTAAGGTGGTGCTAAGGCTGGACCATTCTCACCAATTTATACCATAAGGCAGCCAACATACTCAAACCTTGTCCTGACATCAGCAGTTGTTCACAGAAAGAATCTCACAATGTGCCTAGTGGATATTTTGCCATGACCAGTTAAGTTCCTACAAACGCTATTTTACCGTGAATGTGCTCTGATTGGCTAATTATCAATAACTGGCAAGCAACACAAAAACTATATTTGACCGTGAGTCTGGCGGCATTTATTTTGCCGTGAGTCGTTTATTGCGTAGCCATGAAATGCACTGCCAGCATTTTGCACGCTTTTTGCTGCCAGTCGATCATCCTAGGTTTTCTTCAGGTGGATGACGTAACCCGGTTCCTAACCTAATTCCTTTTTTATCTACATCACAGTCACATATCATCCTCGCATTGTTCGCCAGTAATAGACGATTAGCCTATCAGAGCGCACTCACAGTAAAATATCAGTTATAGGAACTTAACCAATCATGGCCAAAGATTCACTGCGCACAATGTTGGTGTAAGTTTAATCTTGTTTTTAGACAAAGGTGAGAGGCTAAACAAAGGTGAATAACAAAGGTACTTAAACTATCCAACCAGGAGCAAACTTGTAGCAATGGTTTTAAATTAGAAAAATTTACATTTAGGCGCGAGATAGGTAAACATTGGTTTGGAAATAGAGTAGTGGATGAATGGAACACGTTACCAAACATCATCATTAACTCAAACACGCTGGGTAGCTTTAAACATAGGTTGGATGGATATATGAGCAATAGGGGTTGGGTGTAAATGGGACTACCCAGTATATGGGCTGGTGCACCTCCAACTCGGCCCATCTTAAAAAACCAACTCGGCCCATCTTAAAAATCCAACTAGGCCCAGCGCCAGCTCGGCCCATCAAATACCAACTCGGACCATCTCGGATAACCAACCTTTAACTAAAACATTCTACAGTATGTTTATACCAACGTCATAACATAAAACATTTATTTCCTTTCCTTTGACTAAAACATTCTACCGTATGTTAGTGAAAACTCGTACAAAAATGAATTACAAAATTAAAAATGTCACATTGGACTGACTTGCAACCAGCTTGGCGGTCCTGGCAGAGGGTCTTCAGCCTTGTCTGGAGGTTCTTTTAAACTCGTTTTTGGCGCTTCTTGGTATTGATATTGATATTGAAACAATTTATTTAGCCAGAAGAACACAGGTACAGAGTCGATTCTTTGGTGATTTGAGATGATACAACAGCATGGTCGTTGAGAGAAGGGGTATCGCATTTGATGATGGATTACATGACTTCACGTGAGGTGACCTAACACAATGTACCCACAGAGAGCGACCTCACTTTACCTGGAGACCTGACAACGACACCCAATGCTTGTCAAGTCACAAAGTCGCCGACTAACCTGACTGCGATATGACTATTGAAGGACGTGACGTGGGATGATCAAAGGGATGCCGTTTTGCAGTGTGGAAGTTCTGCAGTTGACTTATTTATATACAGCCACTCCTCGACTTATGACGGGGTTAGGGACCCAAATCCAGGTCGTAAGTCGAAAATGCGAAGATAATACATAGAAAATCTAAATTGGGTGTCTCTTTTTCTTCTCAGCACCACAAACTCTCACTTTTAAGCATGCCAGCCATTTTAAAGGGAATTACAAACGAAAATTTTGTCAATGCACAGCGCAATCACTAACGTCGGGACTCGAAAATACGTAATTTGAAATTTTTTGGGGACGACTGGGGCGGTCGTATGTCCGGGTGGTTGTAAGTCGAGTAGGTCGTAAGTCGAGGAGTGTGTGTGTGTGAATATATATATATATATATATATATATATATATATATATATATATATATATATATATATATATATATATATATATATATATATATATATATATATATATATATATATATATATTTTATGTAGATCCACAATGAAAACGTGGATAAGATAAATCTTGATAAAATCACACGGGAAAAGGGAAACAACGGAGCACCTTAGCTTTCGTCTTTATTCAAGACATCTTCAGAAGCAACTGGATTACATGGACAGAGAGAGGCTTAAATATACAGGGTGACCATATTAAACATGAGGTCAGGTCATAATGATGTCATCCACTAATCCCCACACCAACACACAAGTAGAGGAGCTTAAGAGAAGGGGGCGACGTGACTAGTCAGGTCAGGTCATAAATAAGGGACCCACTAAATAACTACCAGGTATCCTACATCTAGATCCAAGGTTTTCAAAGCATTTTTAACCTTGGGCCACTGACAAATAAATTTATGTAACATATTATCAGTTTTGAACTGACCATCACTAAGGTTTATTGATTTTAATTCCTTAATCAAACTAGCTTCAACCAGAAGTCTTTCTGTGACACAAGATGATTTGAACACTTCCAAGCTTTTTTCCCAAGCAATGGGGTGATTATTATTCCTAACATGAACGAACAAGGCACTGCTTTCAGATGCTGTTCTGATATTGTACTTATGTTGTTTGATTCCAAGCTGCAGTGTTTTTCCTGTCTGACCTACATAATTACAATTACATTTGCTACATGGAATACAATAAACACTTCCATTTACATTCAAACTTGGGCTATTTCTTATTAACATATTGGTAATGGTTGAGTCATACTTGAAAACAACATTAATATTTAGTAGCTTGAGGGACCGAACAAACAGGACAAATTCATTGCGATAGGGCAGTCAAAATATTCTTAAGTGTAGGAATTTGCCTGGTTTGAGAGGAATGAAAGGATTTTTTAGCCCTTTTAAAACAACGATCAATAAACACAGAAGGGTACCCAAGTTTTTGTGCAATGGAACGAATGTGTTTCAATTCATCATCAATAAATTCAGTGCCCATGGCCTACGAAGGTTTAAGGGGGCCTACAAAATTTGAGATATAATTTAGTTATGTATTTTCACTGTGGTAAATGAAAACAATCGACAAATTTGACGAGAGAAATAGATTACAGTCATAAGACCAAGTGATTATAAACGCATAAAGGTACTGATTTTTACATATATACGTAACAGGTATATGTATATTTATATGTTAACTGAAGAACATTAATTCAAACATTGTGTTTTCCCTTTGCCTTATATTGGACGTGTTCATAGTGCTCAAAATATCTAAGACAGTCGAATGAGCGGCAGCCTTGGTCCGAGTTGGTTATCCGAGATGGGCCGAGTAGGTATGTGATGGTCTGAGATGGGCCGAGTAGGTATGTGATGGTCTGAGATGGGCCGAGTAGGTATGTGATGGTCTGAGATGGGCCGAGTAGGTATGTGATGGTCTGAGATGGGCCGAGTAGGTATGTGATGGTCTGAGATGGGCCGAGTAGGTATGTGATGGTCTGAGATGGGCCGAGTGGTGATGGTCTGATGTGATGTGATGGTATGTGATGGGCCAGTAGGTGGTCTGAGATGGGCAGTGGGTATGTGATGGTCTGAGATGGTAGGTATGATGGTCTGAGATGGGCCGAGTGTGAGGTATGTGATGGTCTGAGATGGGCCGAGTAGGTATGTGATGGTATGTGATGGGCCGAGTAGGTATGTGATGGTCTGAGATGGGCCGAGTAGGTATGTGATGGTCTGAGATGGGCCGAGTAGGTATGTGATGGTCTGAGATGGGCCGAGTAGGTATGTGATGGGCCGAGTTGTTAATCTTCCTGGAGACTAAACCTATATTTAGTCTGACAAGATTGTTTTTATTTTAATAGTGTCTGAGTGTATTAAAGTGAACCCCTAGTCTGGTACATGAGCTAAAAAAAGATAAATTATGAGCGACACTTTCCCTTGTACTGTGTCCCTAACAAACAAAGTCCACCACAACAACACTTAAAATAAAATTACTATATACTAACCCTTGATACAACTCTAACAGGAATTTCCATTTTACTCTCCCAGAAACATGTTTAATACACCGTTATTAAACAAAGTCTTCAAGGTTCACATTTTAAAGCTTCTGTGATGACAACAAGTATTAAACCCGGGTCATGTTCACGTATGGTCATTATCCTATTGTATTTTTCAATTTAATCAACATCCATATAAGATACTAATTTTATTTAAAGATTTATTTTATTTTATATAATTAAGCTTATATTTTGAATCTGCACTTCAATTTTTTTTATTAATTAACTCATAATGATGGTAATATTTATGGCTAGCCTTAAGCACCACGGAGGTATTAAATATTTATTTTGTCTATTATGTCTGCGGTTAAACTAATTCTGATAAATTTTAATGATTGATAATTAGTGTAATTGGTTATGCATTATACGGGATTAAAAGACTTAAGTGTTTGAAGATAGGTATATAAAGTTTCTATCCTCAATATATATGATGTGACCCCTGACCCCTACCAATGATGTTGGTCAAAAGGAAATTATGGGGTAAAATACGAAAAAGAACACCCAAAAAACATTTCCTACCCTTACCTAACCTATAAAAGGCTTACCTTATTCGTCTTTTCGGTGTTTAATATGTGATGATGTTTAAGTTGTTCAAATGAGGAAGGACCCATAAACGCGAAAGCCATTCTTAACCTTTTTATAAGTGTTAGGAAAGTTTTTCAAAGGGTGTTCTTGTATTTCTTTTACTATTTTCCCTCTATCTCAAAACCTAGTCCACTTTGACCAACCAATATTGTTGGTAACCGGGGATGGAGGGGGTTCTATATTAGTTAAAATACTCGAAACAAAAATAGCAATGGAAACACAATATAATAAAGTAATTTTCTTTTGCACTTTCTCCCAATACAAATAGAATTATGAAGATCAGTGTTGATCCTAAAACGAATCTTAGGTCGTTCAGATATCTAGACGGTCCGTCCCTCGTAACGATCTTCAAGAGTGAAATGCTTCCCCATCTGGACTACTGTCATCCCGTCTGGTCCCCGAGATATGCTAGGCACTGTCAGTTGGTTGAAAATGTTCAAAGGAGGGCCACTAAACTGGTGCCTGCACTTCGGCACCTCAGCTACCCTGAGAGATTGGAGCGCCTGAACTTGCCTAGCTTATACTAGACGGGCAAGGGGGTGACCTTATTGAGGTGTATAAGCATCTCAGGGGGCACTACTCAGTCGAGTGTCCTTACTTGGAGCTGGCGGACGCTCGCCCCACAAGGGGTCACAGCTCAAGATTGAAGAAGCCGCAAGTCCAGAAAACTGTGAGGGCAAACTTTTTCTGATCAAGTTGTAAACTCTTGGAACAATACCAGAAAGTGTTGTGACGGCACCGAGTGCGAGCTCTTTCAAGACAAGACTTGACCAACACTGGGAGGGTTAAGGTACAGTCACCCAAAAAAGTCCTGTTGCAAACCACGAACCCTGAGATTCAGACTCGTGAACCCGAAGCAGTACACACATTGTTCATAAATGCTTCGGATTCAAGTCTTAATCTCGGGGTTCATGGTTGGCGACAGGATATTTTTGGGTGACTGTACATTCAGGAGCCCGTGCATGCCCAATACTTGCCAACAGTGCGTAACAGAGACGTACCCAATCACCCAAGCGGCTAATGAGTAGATCATTTGGTGAAGAGGATAAAAGAAAAGGAAAAGTAAGAGACGTGACTGATTGCCCAAGTAGCTAACGAGCCGATCAGTGGTGAAGAGGATAAGAGATACAAACCCAGGTCCTGCTCACATTCTCAATTCATGTAGTTTCTTCGTCCTGTTGGGATATGACACGCCTCCTTACGGTTTGTCCGACCCAGATGCATCCTCTAGCACTTTGTGACACTGAATCTTACCATCCATTTCTTCTACCATTCTTAAGGCTCGCAAGATCTTTCTGTAGCTCTTCACAGGGTTTGGTTCTTAATTTCACTAAATAACTTGACATCAGTAAACATTTGTATGACAGGTCGTTTATGAAACAAACAAACATGTCCAATACACTGCCCTTTGGTACCTTGCTTGTTACAAGTACACATGAGGATTTCTCCTCACAAATCACAACACTGGCGACAGTAAAGAAAGTTTCCGATCCATGCTATGAGTAGCGAGTGTTTTGTGTTGTGGGGTGGGGTGGGGCGTGCAGTGTGGGATGGGGCGTGTGGTCAGTGTGAGGAGGGCATTGCAACACCTATAAAAATTAAATGTTAAGGGCTTTTTCCAAATTCATTGTCATCCTCCCTTTATTCCTTGCCTAGTAATTTGGTTTACTTTCTGGCTGCACCACATAGGGGGGGGGGGGGAAGTAATGTGTTCACCCATTGGAGCAAGCTATCCTCCTATAGTCTGAATAGGTGGCCTAAACCACTGGGAAATATGGTACAACCTGTTGGTACTTCTAAAAAAAAATTGCAATGGAAAAATTGTACTGGATCGCCAAAACAGCCAATTAATTTGGCTGTTCAAGTGGGTAGTGCCTGGTTATACATAGCAAAATGCAATTCCCATTCTTAAGATCCTTTATCCATACCCAGGTTGTATCCAAATGGAAAACAACAGCAAGGACGATACTTGGCAAAACTGCCTTCCCACGCCTGTTTATTATTTCAGTACCTTTCTACTCCACATGGTCTAATGAATAAGTAAACAATAATGAATAAGTAAACAAAACTATCATTGTTATATTGGTTTTAATATCAAAATGATTATGGCTACACTTTCACACAACAAACCACAATCCCACATAGGAGAGGAATGTAATACCCATTTAATAGCTGACAACTCATTCATGAAAATGATTGGTCACTGGTTTCAGAATACGCAACTTCATTAACTTAAGTTTAATAGCTTTACCGGAATTTTTGGAGCAAATACTAGAAACTGTGCAGCATAGTGTACTCCACAACTGCAAAAGTGTAATAAATTGTGCCTATAAATTTATTCAACTAATCTGCCATGGAATCTAAAATGGTTACATATCTTGAACCAAGTGAGCTTATATGATCAGTGAAACTTCTATTCAAATTCTAATTCACCAACTGAATGCTCTGGGACTGGAAATTTTATCATGGCACTTAGTTCAGAATAATTTCCCTCAACTACAGGGTTATTCCAAACATGTACCTAACTTGTCACCACATTTTCAGTTACACCATCAATGTCTTGATTTGTACCAATGTCCATTCCTATTATAGTTCCATTCAGAGTTCATCATGCATTTCTTCTACTTCCCCAGCATCATCTTCATCATCATCCTCCTCCTCTAGCAACTGCTCTTCATCCTCATCTGCCTCCTCTTCCTCCAACTCTGGCTCTTCCTCTACAGGTTCATCCAGAGGAATACCCAGTGTCTGGCGCATCATCTCTTCCACAGATTTTGAGAAGTCAACTGTATCCTTCAGCATATATCCAGATCTTAGTGTAGCTGAAACAGTAAAATTTTAGATTTGAAAAGAGCAATATTTTTGTTCTCCTGAAGTCTATTTCTGGCTACAGCAAGTATTGCTTTCCAATCCTAACCTGATCATATGAATTGGCTTTAAACTTGGTTACTTGTTGCAAGCAATATAAATTTTGTACTGTATATCAAACTTGAGCCCAATGACAATGAAAACTCGAGAAAAAAAGGTTGCCAAAGTATAATTAATGTACAGTATTCATCAGAAAATGTATGGATACGCTTTCAAAAAATTAAGAAGTTACATTTCTTGCAACACTAATAGGGTGTAAAGTGAAAATAATTTGTAATTAAGAATACTGTATGAATGATAATTTTATAAAAAAAACAGTAAAATGGACAGTTGCTCCATGGAGAGAATTACCGTTATGAAAAGACTACAAAGTGCAATTGTTTACCTGGAATTCCATTTCTTTCAGACAAAGTTACTGTTCAGAGCATAACCCTTCTCAAATTTCCTTTTGGCTTTGTTGTTCGCTTTTGATGCAAATTTGGCATTTTACAAGATTTTTTTTTAATATTGTACATGCATCAATATGGAGGAGTTTACTTTTGACTGATAGACCTTTAACAATTAAATTTGGCCTTTCCCATAAACTTAGTTCAAGAAGTTATTTCATATCCACAGAATTAGCCCCCCCAACCCATCACTGCAAAATAGGAAAAAATGTCAGCAATGCAACTTTACTGAACTAATCTAACAAACCTATCCTGCAAGTATGAACCAATATGACCCAACCATAGAAAGCAATGAGAGAAGGTTTCCAAGGGGCATAATTACCTGTATGGTACATCATAACAGCAATGTTCTTTGCAGACTCATCTGTTGGATCATCTTCTACACGTTTTAATAGTTCCTTAATCAGTGGGTGACGAGGATTTAACTCCAGTGTTTTCTTCTGGCTAAGGTAATAACTGAAAATAATTGTATGAATTAGGTCAAGACAGTTCAAGTAATTTTCTAACTACCAAGAATTATTCCCAATCTAATTTCAGACATTTACTTAACCATGCTTATGAACATACAAATCTCTATTAAATGCAAGTTCAGACAAAACTGGAAAAAAGACATCCTGTACAGTATATCCATTGGAGCTCATTCAATATTCAATAAAAAAAGCCAAAATGTACTCCTGCTACACCTCGACTATGCCTTCATACAGAAGTATAATTACTGTATTAGAGTTCAGACTTGCCGTCAGACAGATGCGACCAAGTGTCGTATATGTAGCACAACTAAGTTCGCCGAGTACATATTTCTACATACAGTACCATATTTAGTTTTATTATGCAGTATCATTAACCAAGGGATGTTCAAGACATGGGTTACATCAAACATCATAATAAGTCACATCTCAAACGCACACCGAAATTTTAAAATTGGCATTTCCATTATGCCGAAATAAAGCAAATTACAAATGTCAATTGCATATGATGCAGCCAACCGAGTCAACAATTTATTGTACTGTAGTTTGTATTTATCAATATTTTGTATACAATACAGTATGAAGTGTTTAATGATTTGTCTGGCTAATACAGGAAGTTAGATGTAGTGCTACAATTGGGCATTTTATTCTGGCTAACCCAAGACAATTTTGTTCACCCTACTAAATGGGTTAATCAAATGATTTTACAGTTTGAGGTTTAAACTGGTAGCTAAGGATTCCCCAGTTCACCCCATAGGCACAAATATGGAACAAGGAACATAACTTCCAATGATGGTTGCCATCCCAACAACTACCAATGATGGCTGCCATTTAAGGGTTAAAAATAATGTAGTTCAACCAGCAACACAGGTCAGGAGAGGTAATTGCTTACCTTCCTGCACTCCTAACTACATTTGGTTGAATGTGACATGTCCCTACACCATTTTATACCTCTTATTACAATTCCTAAAATGCAATTCTGTACACCATGAACCTGCCTCTGAAACTATTTGACACGAATCTATCCTTAATGCGGGCAACTCCAACTATCAGTCAAAAAATTCTACACAACTGCCTTTTAAGTTAGGCAATCACCAAACTTCACACAACCTGACAACCACTCATCCCATAAAGCATTTATCTTATGGCAACCTTCCATGCTTGTGTGGGTTAGCTGTGATTACCTGATGGCACCTGTTGGGTAATACCAGATTGGGATGTACCCCTAGCTCACCAATACAAGCTCAGAGACCAGGGTTACAGCTCTGGTAACCTGGTTGCCATCAAGCATGATGAAACAGTTTTATGAATGGATGCCCTTCCTAGTGCAAACCCACAAGGTGGGAGCAGCTGGCAAGGCAGAGTCAAAACCCCAAGGTACAGTAAAGACTTCCTGTCTACTTGGTTAAATACCTGGTAGGTTTGTACTGAAAATATTAATTTAAAATAAAATATTTTTCATAATGTCCTGATTGGTCAAGTTTCTGTCCAAGAAGAACAAAACAATGGTTACTAGTGTAGACATATTTAAGTATCTATCAAAAATTTATACATCAAGCATGTTTTAGTAAAGACCTGCAAGGATGAGAGTATTTCATACAATCAGTGACTAGCAAGTCTACTTTCATGGGTCCAAGTCCACGGCAGGTCACAGCCACTCAAATTTGTGGGACTACAAGAGATTTGCGACTAGAATATTGCAATAGATAAATGTTTACTTACCTCATTCTAAATAAGTAGACCAAGTTATTGTACACAGCTAATTATATTAACAAAAAGCCCTGCAATAGTTTTTAATGTAACTCAGTACTTCCTGTAAATCTAAAATACTGAACAAAAAAATTCAAACGCCAAACACCAAAGTCCAGCTATCAACCGAGGTACTGTACTACACTTATCTGTCTGGTAATGCCGTGCTACAGGTACAAGATGTTGCCCAAGTCTGAGGGGACTTGCCGTGTTATCTTTAACAATTTCATAATAATTTTGTTCCGAGCAACAAAAATTGAAGGATAGGAGTTGACAACTTTTCTCATGACAATGTATGCCCATCACTGCAATGTTAAGTTGGAGCTCCACAACCAAAATTAACTAGTGGTCACAATACTAAGGTCTAATATAAATCTATTTTATGATATTGTTCTATTAAAGAATTGTTTGAATGTCATTTGTATAATGCAACTCAACTTTGTTTCCTTTTAAATATTGTAGAGCACTATCATTTTATGGGATTCTGACTTCTGCAAGTAGGTTAGTACTTTCTGAAAGTAGCTGAATTATGACAATGAATTAGGTTATATACTTACAAATTATGAAGGTTTTACTGCACTGTTCTGTTCTTTCCTTACCTCCACAAGTAACCATTATGTAGTTTTAAAAAAACTATTAATACCCTATGAATGCTTACACTTATACCTTTATCCATCAATTTCCTTTACCTGACAATGAAAAATTAGAATACATTACTTACTCCCTCTGTACATCATTGCTCTTGGAGTGTGTCTGAGAGGTCACTATACGTTGCATATTTGCTGTCCAGCCAAATCTAGATGAAACTAGTGCACATGGTGACTCCGACAGCCTTTCTCCAACTTCTGCTTTCACAATCTACGAGAATAGTTGGGTGTTGATTGAAGCTTTCTAATAAGTTCTCACTAAAGTGTACAGCCTAAGCCTCAAAGATGTCCCTGAAAGTTATCCTTACCTTTGCAAGCTTTCAAAGAAGAAACCCTTTTAGAAGTTATGGAAAGCTAAGACCCAGACTAAGTCATGCACTAAATACAACTGCAAGAAAGCTTTCTATATTAGGAGAGAAAACTACCACCCATGCAAAGTAAACTTACTCCCTATGAGAATCGTGAGTCTTCTGGTGAGCATTAGAAACAGCCAGGCGTTCCATATTCCCAGTCCAACCAAACATGCTGGCCACTAGAGCACATGGGGAGTCAGAGAGACGCTCTGATACAACTGCCTTTGAAACCTGAGAGAGGATTTGTCAAATACTGTACTTAACATTTCAAAGAACCTAAGCCAAGCAATTCATTTATTTCCAATGATAAGCTGAAGCCTTTCCAAATGCCACAACAAAAAAGATGTCAATAGAAATAATTAGTAAGGTAAGAATCACTATTGAAAGGTTTGTAGCAAAGGGTGATAAAAACACGGTTCGATGTCATTCAGAAAATCTCTCGCACTTACACACTTCATAGTAAGATAATTGTTGCCCCTTATGTAACGAGGATGGCCGGTCCAAGGGCCACCTAGGCTTGAATTTGTTTAAGGTGTAGAAGCTGTCGCCAACAACGACGACAGCCTAAGTTAACGAGCTGCATGACCCGGTTTCAAGGAATAGTCTGAGAAGACTGGACAACTCGCCAACTGCACTGGCTAACCATTACCCCAGAATACGATCCACAAATCAACTAACATCCACATTCCCAATTACTGCTGGGTAAACAGAGGCAAATGGTGTAAAGAAACTTCCCCATAGTTCCACCCTGACTGGGGATCGAACCCAGGTCTGCTCGCTTGCGAGGCGAGCCTGCTGAAGACACACACACACACACTTCACGCAGTATATACATACAAATTCAGAAACAAAAATCCAGAATAACAATCTAAAATAAACTGATTAGATTAACTTTTAAACCAGAATTTTCATATTTAAGAGTACCTTAATTTGATGGGGAGCTCATAATTATATTCATGGCAATAGAAAAACATGAAGCCAAGCCGAGGAAACAAAAACTGTACAGTACAAGCATTTTCCAATAAAACTGACCATAACTCAAGATAATCCTTTTCTCTCAACCCACATTTGTGGCACAGTCCCCTTCACTAGTGCATTTACAGGGGCTTGTTATATAAACATTCCATGTCATGAGATTTTGTTCCAATATTGTTTTAATTCAACTCCATAGTATGTTCACTATTGCAAGTTTCCTTGTCGAGTGTACACAAACACGGCTGCCACACTGCACAAAATAAGACAAGCCCCTGTAACTAGTGAAGGGGAAGATACAGTAAAATCTTTAATCAGTTGTCAAAAAGATTCAATTATTTTTTAGTGGGGTTGGAAGAATAGGAATTACTTGTAAAAATTATAGCAGGTGCAATGAAGAATGCAGGTGAAACTCCAGATAAAGGAACTCTAGGCCCAGAACAAGTACTGGGCAGATAGCTAAAAAAATTTAAAATTTAATGTTTGTAATGGTATGCTTTATATATAAACTACCCAAATGATAAATTAATGTGTAATAAAGAAATCACAATCTAACTTTTCCTAAACAATATTTTGCATGAAAATTATTTTATTCCATTAACACAGTATCTTCATCCAAAGTAAACAAATTAACTACAATTATGTTTAAAGGATTAAATACTGTGAAGAATGCTGAAGTGCCATTATTGTGGCCACAATATTTACTATAACAAACCAGGGTAACATTTAAGTTCCTGGGAAAACATCTACCCAATCACAAAAGCAGAAAAAACTGCTAAGGTTTGATTACTATGAAACAATTACAATTGAAGCCATTTGGTTCATTCTACATTTGGACCACTGTTAAACTTTATTCTGCAGGTTTTATGGCAACACTAAGTATAGGAAAGTAATGAACTGAACCCTCTATAAATTAACTAACCTCATCCTTCAGGGCTTCTTCACTCAGCCACTTTGTTAGAGGCTCAAAAAGCTTCTTGAGCTCTTCCATACGCTCCTTCGCTCCTTCACCCTCATCAATTGTCAAGCCTTCTTTTGCCACATTCTGGAACTTCTTCCCCTCAAACTCGGGTATGGCATTTATAGCATACTCATCAATGGCTTCTGTTAGGTACATCACCTCATACCCCTTCTTGATGAGACGCTCAACAAATGGTGAATTTTCCACCTGAAAATTAGTGATTAAATTTTGTTCAAAACTGGAAAATTAAATACCTAATTTGTGGTATGGAATTTTCTTTACTGGTACCTTATGAATCTACCATTTCCATCCAATTCAATTAACAAATGACCTTTGCTTTCTATTCCCTTACCTCAGCTCTTGAAGCACCAGCCATGTAATATATGTGCTCTTGTTTTTCCTTCATTCGTTCAACATAGTCTGACAAGGAGGTTAGTTTGTCTTTGCTTGCCGATGACAGAAAGCGTAGAAGTTTGGCAAGACGCGTGCGGTTTGCAGAGTCTTCAATTGCTCCTAACTTAATGCTGTGGAAAAATACTCCAATAAATACCTCCCAAATACAGTACTAGCAACCAAAACTAATTTTATCTTTACATTTACATTTCAATGAATCAAGCTATTTTAACTCACTTTGTTGAGTATTCCTTCCAGAACTTCTCATAGTCTTCAGGTTCCATTTTCTTGATCATATCAAGAGTCTTGCGCACCAATTTTTTCTTAATGACTTTCAAAAGCTTGTGTTGTTGAAGGTTTTCCCGAGATACATTTAGAGGCAAGTCATCAGAATCCACCACACCACGAATAAAGCTCAAGTAGTTGGGCATCATATCCTGTTAAGAAAAAACAACAATGAAGATTATGTATGTATCAGCACAATGCACAAACTTCACACATTCACTAACTTAAGAGCTTTGGGTAACTAAAGTAAATTTGATATACCAATATAAATGCCATAAACTAATTGTATTATGCTGTATTAAGACAATCATACCATATATTGCTAACATTTCAACTAAGCATCAAACCAGGGCATCAGTTATCCACATGCAGGGTAGAGAAAACATTCCAATACTTTAAGATAGGTGCCAGATTTCATTTACATCCATAACTTGTCATGATTTATTCGTGTATCGAGTAGAAATTCACATGCACTAAGCCAGCCGAGGAGACCAAAATATCAAAAGGGCGAGTAATCTTGGAAAATTAGTTTTTTTAATCGCCCAGCAGGCAACTAGCATGTCGGATTCAAGTGTCCAGGAGCTATCCAGTAGTTTCGAACAAAGTTCCTATTTTTTGACAATCTGCTTTACCATAAAGAAGTGCTTAGTGTCCAGTTTATAAAAGCATTGCAAAAGTAAACGCGTGTTGTACGCCTGAACCCGCGTACTTGGTAGTTGTGCCCTGCTGCTCCCAAAGAGTCGGCCAGCTATCACAGTGCAACCAATACCTCCAATAAGCACGTGATGTTTAACAGATATTATTAATGACCAGGAGTCACCAAAGGGATCGTTTGATGTGGAAGAATGTTATTCCACCAACAAGTAAAAAACAAAACCAAAGAAGAAAGGTTAGAGCAACAGCATCAACATGAACAATCAACACAATCTAGATCATTCCAGAAGTCATGGTATGCAGAGTCTGACTGGCTGATGTATGGTACTGCTGCAGAGGTCAAAGCTTTTGCTCATAATGTTGTGTAGTGTTACCACTACAAAATGAGCAAAATACCACCAGTTTCAATACTGTCCTGGCAGCAAATAAATGAATCGGAGAAAAGTGTGGCTTCTTTCTCCATTTACTTGATTTTGTCCATTCTAACCAGTTACGCTGAACATGGCTTCAGTCAGGTCAAGCCCTTCACAACAGACTGGCCCAGTAGTCTCACAGATGACCACTTAACATATCTAGTGGCCCAGTTGCAGTCAGAATGTGTTGGCAACTTAACAATCCAGAGTAAGCCACCAACAGATTCTTAAAAAAAGGGGCCTGCAGTGTTGCAGCACAGAGGAAGTGCTGGACAATATCAAAGAATTGGACGAAGAGCATGTACAGAAACTTATTGACCAACTCCAGTGAAGAAGAAAGCCACCAGTTAATTGCAGTTACATACATAGAGGACAGTAGTTTTTAAGATATCTAAAACAATTTCATATTTTTCAGCTTTTTTAAAGCAAACAAGAACACCGATTATCCGTATTATAATATGTTGTGCAGCCAGTTTGCAATTTGAATATAATTTACCTTTTGCTATTAAAGTTAAATAAAATGTCAAAGTAAACTACTTTCTAAGTAGACCTACCCAGTATACTGTATGTCAACGATTGAAAATTTAATGTTTTTTTAACGTCTTAAAATTTTGGAAGGGCTAGTAACAATCCAGTTCTTGGCTGGATACCTGTAAAGGGCAAATTTCTACCCCTAGTATGGTTCAAGACAAAACATGCTTATTATAATGGCATCCCTCATATGAAAAGATAAAGACCAAAATCCTTTTTACATACCTGGAAATCATCAGTAATAAATACTCTTCGAACGTAAAGCTTGATATTATCAGTGCGAGTTCCATACTTGTTAAAGGATTCTGATGGCTGAACTTCTGGGACAAACAAGAGAGACTTGAATGTAACTTCCCCCTCAGCAACAAAGTGGGTCTTTGCAAGAGGTTCTTTTGAATCCTTGCTGAGAGTCTTGTAAAATTCATCATACTCAGAATCCTCAATATCTGCAGGTCTGAAAATTTAGAAGGGATTCTTAATATTGTCACTAACAAATTTTTTGAGAAGTCTAAACTACAAGAAAAAAAAACTACAAATATGTGTACACTCATACTATTTACATGCAAGTTGCAACTATGACATTAATACTTGCATATAGAACTACAGTACTGTATTGTAAATTGAAATCCTGAATTTACAAAGCACAGGATGTGAATCTCTACCAAAATCCTTGGGGCTGAATGTATCATTCCATTTTTTTTCTCAATTTTGGCATAGAGCCAGGTTAGTGGTAGCTCACCCACAGGGGTCCTGGCCAATGTCAAATTTTCTTTAAAGCATTTTAACTTTACTAGACATCCAGCCTGCAAAGAAAGGTCTAACCTAGTGACATTATATAGCCCCTATACTATACTGTATCAGGATATCATTGATATAAATGTGCAGCTAAATTATAACAGCAGTTACAGCAGCACAACAGTTAAATACAGACTGACGGATATTTAATTTGACATCTAAATGTTTACTTCTCAGATAAGCAATTAAAATTTTAATACTAGGTATCATTAAACAAGATGTTTAAAGGATTAATAAAATATTAAAAGGACAGTTGGTCAGCTGATGGAAATGTATGGGTAGTTTCCTTTCTCACTGGATGGTAGCACACGCAGGTGCATTGTCTGCTAAGCCCGAGAGGCCAGCTAGCCCAGCACAACAACAAGTCACCTCGAGGCTGCACAAGAGTCCCTGAAGCAGTTCAGACTACTTGAAGATTCCATCCCTTATTTTTTCTTTGTATATCATACTGATGGTAAAGTAGCTCCTCACAGTTTAAAAACATTAAATAAGATCAATATTTCATTTCTCAGATTGCACGAAATATTTTTAATCCACCATTTAATTAAGCAAGCTTTCAAGTTAAATATCAAAGGAATCAATCAGCTAATGGAAATGCACTGACAGTTTCTCCAGCTATCAGTACAGTAGATAACAGCACAAGTGAACTCCTCAAGCTGGTGGATGTTTCAAATTACTGTACTGTAAGATCTCACATTTTATGGTATTGCCTCCCACAAATTGTTGTAGGAATGAATATGAAATATGCTAATAAGCAGGGATTACTGTACCCATTAATGGTACTCAATACTATATACAAGTTATCAGATATGGTCACTACAGTCCTCGCTCTCTAACCATGACTCCCTTAATCTAAATCCCCCTTCAAACTGGTCTGTGGTCCAGCACTGGACACATCCCCAACCCAGAAAAATAATCAAAATTCAGCTGGCATGGGGCAAAGTTCACAAGCGGAAGCTGCCACTGTGATGGCACAAAAGGAGAACTCTGCAATTACTTGACGAAACCGTAGGTAGTTGCGGAGGAGCACTTAAGTGGAGTGTCTAAGAAATATAGTAAAGAGTAGAGTACAGTACAAGCCGTCTTAGTGTAAACAACCTCCGCTCCACCTTTGGCAACGTATTTGAGTCATACAATTACTTCCTGCCCCAACCAAGTGCTCACTGCAAGACTACTACATCATGATAAGTAAGTACAGCACTGTAATATCAACATGTACTATAGGCTTCTATTTCTTAACAGGTATATTATAATGCAATAATATACATACGAAGCCAATTCTCTTATCACTCCCATTATATTAGGCCAAGGCCAAAATATTTATGGCTAGCAAAAATTAAAACTTATCTGCAGCATCTGTCTTAATTGTGTTTGAAAGATGATTTCATATTGTATTTATCATGAATAAAATACCTACAATTTGGTTTCAATAAAAGTGATTGAAAAAAATATTTGACCAAGGTGAATAATTTATGAAAAATTGCAAGAAATTTTTATATCGCAGTCTAAAAAACACTAATCAAATTAGAAACACTTCTTGATTATGAACTCTTAGTGAACTTACTTCCTTGTCCAGATAGGTTTGGCATCATTCACAAGTGTCCAATCCCAAGTAGTTTTAGAAACTTTCTTGGTCTTGGGCTTGTCTTCTTTCTCCTCTTCTACCTTTCCGTCTTCATCCTCCTCAATCTGTAAAACATTGATCAACCTACAATTGAAACCACTCAATATATTTTCTTAACATCTTAAATTAGTCTATCAATTCAGATAATAAAATCATTAGTAACAAGAGGCTATACCTTATCCTCTGGCTCTGCCTCATCTTCATCAAGAGGCTCTTCCACCTCTTCAGTTTTTGACTCCCATAGGTAAATAGGGAAGTTAATGAACTGTGAATACTTCTTCACCAAATTCTTCACAGTATCTACCTCAACAAAGTCATAAGCTTCTTCCTTCAAGTGTAGCGAGACCGTTGTCCCTGCGAAAAAACAATATTGGTATATTACTGAAGATATTACAAGAACCTATTCATTATCAAATTCTTTGATTTTTCATGCACAACGCTGCCTTACTAATAAAAAACCCTCCCACACAGGGCTAGTTGTGACAGCACAGAAGAGCTGTGCTGTATTTTTTTATTTGAATGTATTTCTCTGCAACTTTCTTTTTCTTGTATAAAATGAAATACTGTACAGTACTGTACATTCTATGTACAATCTTTTTTTTCATATAAAACCAGATACAAAAATTTTAAAGATAAAGTCGTGTTATAATTTGCTATACAATCGACTGAAGTGTTTGCCAACAAAAAACAAGCAAGTACAGTAACTTATAACAAAAACCATAAATATTTTTACTCTTAACCTTTACGAAATTTTCAATCGGATGCAAGTAATACAAAGGCTCATATTAAAAAGATAATATTTTCAGAAACTGATCACTCCACTTGAGCAAATTGTAATTTTTAATTTCTTTATTATTCCACTGGTTAGTATAATTATGTTATAGTGGTTTTAGAATTTTGCTACAATGTACCATTTGACTATAGGCAGTTTTAGAAAAAATACATCCCCACGTGTGTAAGCTAATGCTGTACAATAGTACTGGAGTGTAACATGTTACAGTATACAATAATATCATACCGATAATAAAATCTTATAAATCTTTTATGATGTTAAATGCTCAAGTTACATGAGGGGGGGGATGTAGCAGGGCACCAGGGTATAACAAACATGGTGTGCTGTGCTGTACTGTATTACAAGGACCTAAATATCCTGAAATATAACATGAAGGTATCCTGTTTAATGTGGAGTTACATTGCCGAAACGTAAACATTCAGCGAAATCGACACTAAAAGCAGGCTAACAGCAGCAAAGTACGGAGAACGAACAACAGGTTCAAGCAACAGAGATTAAACACCAAGTACAGTACTGTACTCCCTAATAATAATCCATGTATTAAGGGTTACGAATGGTTCCGCAGTTAAAGACGGATATATTAACGCCAAACTTCAATAATATACAAACAATGTGATTCAGGGTACAACTAGTTAAGTGAGCATAGGTTAAACCCAATACAAAAAAATTTAAAAAACTTTATATAAAATTGATACTAAAGCACATTAGAAACAAAATTAGCTCTTTCCACTCAAACCATCTAGGCGTCATGACAGTTCAGCCGGGCAGTCACCCAGCTGACTCCGAGACTCATGAGGGTTTATGCCGTGGCTTCACATTGGGGGAGGGAGCTGGGCTGGGTGGCGAGTCAGTGACACCATTTCGTCACTGCTTCCACATGTACAGTAGAGGTCAAAAGTAATCGTCCACTCCACCGCCTAACCCCTGCGCCTGACTGGGTCCCTTCCGAGAGGCAAGTGGAGGGGTGACTTGGGAGAGGGAATGATTGACTTGGGAGAGGGAATGATTGACTTGGGGGAGGGGTGTGGGAGGGTGATGATGCAAATTGCTCATCAGAGGGGCATTGAAGAAAGCAGGGAAACTCATGAAAGGCAGGAAAAGATGGATGCAAGCTTTTCCAAGATCATCTTCAATTTACACCCTTATTTTACTATTATTATAATGTGCCAAACATTTCCTTAATTTTTCAGGTTTTAAACTACGGTAATTGGATATTTACCATAACATTACGAGGAGAAATATTAAACACGCTAGCCACTCAAACCAAAAATTTGCCTGCAACGCGCCAATCTACTTCCTCCCGCATCCATGATTTTCACAACCAATAAACATTGCGGGATGGAGAATCGCAACAGTACAGCAAGCAATTTATTATTTTCATCAATTACCAAATTTTTCCCAAGAATGTTAGTGGCAAGAAGTGGAAATTATTGTAATAGCTAGTTTATTACTACTGGTGGTGAGCAAGGACAAAAACAATGCTACTCCACCTCTTGCATGTCACATCAAGGGGGGGCTCCTTCATGGAAGCCAAATGCCTTAATACTAATGGAATATTACTAGCCAAAAAATTTCCTCCTCAGAATATCAAATAGAGGCATAGATAACTCGGGGAAACTAACTCTTTGTAGGGCAAGTGTCAATCAGAAATCCCTTTCTTTGACCGACGCACAAATGAGTCGGTGCAAATTAATAGTGGACTCGGGTGTGTCAGTGCACAAAATAAACCAAACCTTGTTAATTATGATTACACGATTTAAGCAATTTGTAATTTGAAAAATATACTGTATAATAAACTTGGCTAGGTTGTAAGTGCATTTCTCAACATTACATATTGTTCCTACAAGATTTTACAGTTCATCTTCCAACCTACTAAAAAAATTTTATTACCATGTACTGTACCTACTAAAATCCCACTCACTGGGGTACAGTTTCTAGCTACTGTTTTTTTTAATAAACCACCATTCTTGAGAAAAGAACTCACCTCTCTTAAGAGTGTCTCCACGAGGGTCTTCCACAACCGAGAACTCTGCTGAATCAGACTCCCAAATATGCTGTTTGTCCGAGTTGTGTTTACTTGTCACTACTACACTGTCCGCAACAAGGAATGCGGAGTAGAAACCAACACCGAATTGTCCAATTAGGTCTCCTGCCTGTCAAAAATAAATCAAAACCTTTAGTTTTAATGGAACGAATTTCAACGCAGTAATCATTTCAATGCAACAATTTTTATGCAAAAACTCTTCTCAATACAGTAACTTACCTGATCAGCACTCTCCGATTCCTGAAGTTTTGAGAAGAATTCCGAAGTTCCCGATTTGGCAATGGTACCCAAATTATTGACAAGGTCTAACTTGGTCATTCCAATACCAGTGTCAGTGATGTGAAGGATATGGTTGTCCTGAAAATTTAGATAAAATTAGCAATCAATTCAAAAGGCAGTGTTTGTTTCTTGATATGGTTGTCGTAAAATTAAAATCTTCAAACAAAATTCAAAATGAACATTTTATTCAATAGGCAAAATTGTTTAGTTTCAACAAATACTGGTACTTACTTTATCAGCTTTAATTCTTATCACCAACTCTGGGTTTGTTTCAAGTTGTTCTTTATCAGTCAGCGAGAGTAAACGGATCTTATCCAAAGCATCAGAGGCGTTGCTGATAAGTTCTCGGAGGAAGATCTATAAAACAGCATTTATTAACATTCGATTAAGGATAAACACAGGGCATGTAACAAAACATATTTCCATTACAATGTCAGAGACCGAGAAACTATATTAAACTTGCCTCCTTGTTTCTGTATAATGAATTTATGATCAACTTCATCATACGATTCACTTCTGCCTGGAAGACATGCTTTTCAGCCTTTTCTCTCATCTCCTTTATCTGAAACCAAATACAATAATCAACAGCAAGGATCGGATTAAATGCGTTTTCTTGGGTCAACCTTGCATGTAAAAATTGCAATACAGTTCTGTACCAGTAAGAGCAACAACCCCCAAGTGTTCACATAATTCACGAATTTGATACGAGTTACCTTACAAGAGTGTAAACCCATCTTTTAAAATTCAAACCCTGATTTTTGGTTCAAGGATTTTTTCATCTACCTCGTGTTTAATTCAACCCTAGCTTGAGAAATATAGTACAAGGTATAATCCTAGATATTTTGTAGCAACTCCCCAACACCCTCTTTGCCGTAACAACAGCCAATGCTATGAACAGTCACCAACCCCTATTCACAAATTTCAGTAGCAATACTGCATAGTATTATTCTTTGTTGCAAAGAATGTACAATACAGGTACAGTATTTCTGTAATAGCTATGTATTGTACTTTGTCTAATTTGAACAGTACAGTTTAATATATGGTGGGATATGCCTTTATAACACCAATTTTAATTTATAACAACATTCTATGGACATTATTATGGTCTAAGCAAACTTTTGAAAGGTGAAAACTTTAAATATTTTTATTACCAGTACATTATGGCAGATCTTACCAAATGCTTTAAAACTAAGATACTTCACTGAGGAATAATCAAATACACTAAATGAGGAATAAAATGCCCATAAAAACTAATTCTGCTGTATGACAAGAATTTTCACTAAATTTGAGTAATTGCCCCTCCTAATTACAGGATTATCAAGTAATTACTGTCCTAATTGTACTTTAATAGTAATTACCCAGTCCTAATTACAGTATCAACTAAATTGACAGAACTTATCAATTTTGCATCTACAGTATAATACATGTACAATGAAAGAAAAGTTGTGTCATGAAATTTGGTGAAAACAAGTACTGAAGGGCTAAAACTTTTGGTGCACTGCCTTGTGGTAGGGCTCAATGTTTCACCAGTTCCATTTAATCTTCGGACAAAACCGTGACAACTTTTGTCTTTGATTGTACATAGTAGATAAATGCTTGACCACTAACCTGTGCCACATTGAGACCATCCAACTTTATAGCCTCCTCTTCCCTGGCCACTACGTTGTCATCTGTCCGTGAACCCTCCATGCCAGCACCCAGATCTTGTTCCACAGTTTCTGCATCATCTTCAGCTTTAGCACTCCCTGCAAAGTTATGTAGCACATTAAAATGGAATGAACATGGCATGCTTAACATTACTCCATGAATTTGTTCATACAAATAGCAAATTGAAATTCTTTATATTACTGTATTGCATTACTGTACAGTACTACAATTTACAGCAAAATTACAATGTGCCAGTACAACTTATTGAAGTAGTTGTGCACTGGGCTGAACTTATAAAATGTGAAATTAAAGATTTACCTGTAATGACTGCCCTTGTGTCAAATCTTTCAATCTTTTTCCAGTTACACCAGCCAATTGCCATCACTCAATAAAACTTGTCATTCTCATTCAACAACTGAGAATCTCACATTCCTATGATAGCGAGAAAATTTGTAAAACCAAGAATGTTTTAAGATTTTAGGCATGCCTCATTTAAAATTCTCAGTGAAAACCAGTTTGATGCATAGCTATCAAATCCTGTGCAGTATCAACCAAGAACAATTTACTTCAGTACCAAGTACATGGTTTTGGTCTACACACCTTTGACACTGGCAAGATAAGCTGTGATCCACACCTTGCCACTTCAGCAAATTAAACATTATCGACCATAACTGAGGGTATCCCTTGATTCACAATAACTAATTTTCCTCATTTCCTAATGTTGCTAGCTATCCCATAATGTATCACAGCCAATTTATAACAGCAGGACATTGTCAAGAGTGTTCCTGCCTTTTAAAATGCCACTGAACAGTTTACAAATCTCTTGTGCTAAATTTTCACAACATCCAGCCAAAACAAATGAAAACATGACAAATGGCAACTGTTTTAGGCACCCTGGGAGGTGGGTGTTGAGGGACACCACAAAGATCATCATACTGTTTTGATGGAGACAGGCAAGGCTGGAGGTGTTGCCATTATCAGGTTGTTTTATGATCATGTTTACATAAATTTCTGCTCAACTTTCTTGAGATGATAAATCTATGGAAATAATTTAATAAATTTTTACTTTAAAACAGGAGTTCCTAGGGGTTGACCAATATGTTTACCCAGTGTATTTTAAACAGATCTGACGTTCATTTTGAGCAGAAATTGCTTATTTTTGCACAACCCCCCACCCCCAAACAATAACAATAGAGCCTGGATAATCTGGGTTTTTGGGTGGGGGAGAAAACGAAAAGGAGTCTTCTAACCTAACAAAACCTAACCTAAAGCCATCGGACCCCCCATAGGCCTAGCTTAAACTAACCTAAAATTTTCAGTAATTAAAATCTCTGGGGCATGCCATGTCCAAAAGTACAATACCTTACAAGTGGAAGGACCAGGGATATGTAAGAATTGGGTAGAATGATAGTCTTGTGAAACTGCAATAAACTTAAAGTAATCGTAGGAGCACAAATGACAACCAACCTCCACCACAGCCATTGTGAGACCAGTCAAAGAAATTATCCAGGCTGCTTCCTTAGAACAAAATCAAATGCAAATAACGAGAAAAATTCACGCGATATCGATACAACGCTGGTCATCTCAGAGGCATAGACTGAAAACTACGTAAAACCATTTAAATTTAATCGTGGCACTATTATCCATTTCCACCATGTATATATGGGGTTCAAAATGTCCAGAATAGCGAGATCTAAATGTTTTAGTTTACAACCTATGGGCATGCCATGTCCTAAAGTAAAATACCAAAAGTTTACCAAGCAGTTAGAATACTGTACAATGAAAATTAATATTGGAAAGAAACTTAAAAAGCATGGTTCTGTTCAGTCTGCTAGGCCAGACAATGGAGGCATGTTGCCAATATAAAAAATTCATCACAGCACAAATTTATGTGCAGCAGGAAGTTCACACCCCATAGGTAAGATTTTCAAAGGTTTGTTTGACATTCTTTTTAGCAATTTACCACACACTTTCCCTCTCCTTCAAAGCCCTGCCCACTTTGAATTAATATCATAGGTAATTTTATCCATTAAAATACTCATTATAAATTTACGCCAGAAACTTATAGTATTCTTTTTGGCGGTAAATTTTTACGAGTGGATAACCTAACCTGACCTGGGGGCTCTAACTCCCCTCCCCTCGATACCTTGGTATTTTTAAGTCATTTGCGAAGGAAACGTCATAGAAGTGTCTTAACATTGTCTAAACATCAGAAAAACATTGCTCAACAAAAAATCAATGGTTGCCCACTTGTAAAAATTTACCCTTTAGGCTAACGCTATTTAGTCCGTCCACAATTTCAGCAACAACTCACTATTCTGCCATAATTTTTGCTTCTATTGCGGATTTTTTTTAAGATTCAAGTCGTGCATTATATAGTACGGTAATGCTATTTAGACCAGCGTGCTACACCCTCCCCCTACCATGGCTTGTCGTGGAGTAACATTTACCTTCGGTAACCAAACAAACCTTTGAAAACCTTCCCCAACCTTTCTTAACATGTAAAAATGTTAAAACATCACTTCCGAGTTGATGGGTCCCTCATCTGAACACCAAAAACATGAACAGGGTAAGCCTATTATTGTTTTAGGATTTTAAGGTTAGGAAAGGTTTTCAAAGAGTAGTTTAACTTTTTTTTGTATTTTGCCTCGCTTCTAACCAGTAATAGAAGAAGTATCATTTTGGTCATCCAGCGAATTTTAGGATCACAAATTACCAGCTCCTGTGTTCGTTACTATGCTGCTCTATGTAGGAGCTAGTCAGGGTTAGGTTGAAACTATGTTTCCCATGTTTTTAGAACGATTCCGACCTTCACTTACACAGCAAAATATGTGATTTTCCCCTCACCCAACACCCCTGGTTCCCACTGGGGTAGGCCATTATCGTTGCACAAGGGGGGGGGGGGGAGGTTTAGTACAAAAAGTAGCGATTTGCAGTAGAAATGAAGGTCAGAACCGTTCAAAAACCATCAAAAACAATTTCAACTTCCAAGTAAGTGGACGACTTAAATAATTTCACCCTTTTAGGTTGGGGTTGACCTTCCAGTATAAACATCCTATACATCCTGCCATGCCACTTCCATTGTTTACACGACTAGGAAACTAATGCTTCCCACCACCTTCCCATACACAACTTCCAGTGAACCACAGGACTTCAGATTAGATTTACCAACATAACCCAAACGTTAAGTACATGTTAGGATAGGTATACAGTACACAAAGGTCGCTGGGGAGAACATGAAGCCTCACTAATGGAGTCAGCCATACGTGGGTTATGGAATTCATTAATTCTAATTAAATTAAATGAATAAAAATTGCAATTCAATGTTTTTTGGGGGATTTTCTGGAGATGTCCGATAGAATAATATTCAGCAGTTAGTGGTTTACCTACTCAATGGCCTAAAGTATTACCAGTACCATTAAAACTTGATGACAGAGAAAACCTGCACCTACTACCATTCCCCTAAGGGTTCTTCGATTACTGGAGCACCGAGCCAACCGCCTCTATTAACACAAACTACCTGGTATTACGTTTCACTGATACCGACATAATTTACTGTCCTGTTGCCGAGTCACGAAATGTGGGAGTCAATTTCCTCCCCGGCTGTAACACAACCCCATGTCTTACAATAATATTAAATGCCCAGCATCTTACCTGCGAGCAATAAAGCTACGAAGAGAAAGATGTACCGGTATCTTGATTGCCACATTTTCCTTCGGCCGGTCTGTGTTCACCCTCACACTACGGAGTCCACTCAACGACTGGGAGTTGATGTTTGTTACTCTAAGCGACGCCGAGGCTCCACCTCCCGGGAGGCGTGGTTACTAAAAACAACCAATCAGCATAAACCACGCACGCTTTGTAGCCAATGGCCATCTGGGAAGTGTTCCTGACAGGGTAGAGTTGGCTCGCTCTCATTGGTCCTCACAAGCGACAGATCCTCACACTCACCACCACGGTGCGCAGGTGTTTTATTTTATGTATATAGCGGGATATATCATTCATCGTTTTGATTAATGTATATCATTATTTTATATATGTCACTAATATATATTTGAAGACATAAATTCATTAGCAATTATTTTTTTTTAGTTCTTCGGATAAATCCTCTTCCAAGCCACGTACAGTAAGTTGGTGTCACAGTATTGTATTTTACTAGAACTTTCCATAAATCCTACGTTGTTTAAATTTCACTTTAACTTTTAAGGTAACACCAATAACAATTATTAATTTTACAAGAAGACTCTAGAGATCCTTTTCGAGGTTTGTAACTTGCTTAATAACTATATCTGGAATTTCCTTGACCATATACAGGTATACCTATTAGATTGTCTAGTCTTTGTTATTAAACTATGTAAAATTTGTGTTATTTTAATTATTTCTGACAGTTTAACAGCTTCAATCAGAGTATCGTCCTCATATCTGAGAGTTGGCGACCAGTCCTTTAGACGTTCTCGGGTTGTTTCTCTCTCTGGTGATCCAATTTTTATTTAATTCATCCGTCTCAGTCTCTGCCTCCCAATGGCTCTCCTACCATCAACTTTGCCCATTAATATTTGTTATTATTCCCTCGCTTCTAATTATATGGACACATTTCTGTAACTTGTAAATAATATATAATGTCATCCATTTCTAATCCATGCATATTAATATGTTACAATAGACAGCAATTTGCTCTTGATTTCAATATGGGACAGAAAAACTTACTTTGCGCATTGGCTATAAGGGCCCACCTATAACTATGAAAATGTTAGGTCACACAGGTACATACTCAGTTTCAACAGTGAGACGATAAGTGAAGTCACAAAATGTGCCACGATACTTGACAGTTCCATTAATACCAACACCTAATTCAGACCCCCCCCCCCACCTTCCCTAAACTCACAGGCTTGAGGACATAATTTAGTAGTGCCTGGTTTACAGGATTAAGCAAAAACCGTGTTCTTTAAAAATGTAAAGGACTTGCAACTAAACCCTGCATACGGTAGCTAATAAAGCTGCAGAAAGTGATTTTTTTTGCATTAATAATGTATGCAAATTTATTTCTGGAAAAAGATTCACCAGTTTCAATTAGCCACTAATTAGTCTGTATTTTCTACCATATATCAGCAAAAAATTAGCCAGATGGAAGTCGGTCTATTATCTGGTATGCACATCTGTCTTCCATTAACTTGTTCTGTAGATTTATTTATACAGTACAGTATTTAATGTTGCTGAATAATGAGCATTTAAGGCTTTCTTGGGCAATCCTTGGTTGTATTACTGCACTGTAAGTTGTTGTTATAACGTTATTACTGCATTTCAACAACTTCGTAATAAGGTCTTTAAGCATGCAACAGGGTTAGTAATTACACTATTACCTCAATACAATTATAAAAATTATGAAATAAAACTCTGGAGGTTGTGTACAGTACATGCTGAATTATTATTAACTTGTTAGACAATTTTACTGACTAGATATTAATTTACCTACCTACCACATTGTTCTTGAAATTAATAAGTGAATAAATGACCATGTTGTAAGATTGAGATACAGTATTGAAGTTTACCCTAGTTAATTACTTTCAATTTCAACCATGTAATTTCTTATGTAATGAAATCTTGGAGGTGGATTAACATCTACTTGTCTGCTGCCCTTGTAACCATTAGACTAATTAACAGCAAGTGTCTAGGATGTTCTATCCGAACTGCGACAAGGTACACCATAATTCATAAAAAAAAAATATCATATAGAACTTGAGTGATATTTAGTGGGATTACATCTAAAATCTGTGCCCATTTTTTTTTAAATCCAATTCTATTTATTTGGGGGACCGTACAGTATTATGTTGACAAGATTCACACCTCGCAGAAAGATGGATATTTATTGCTGTATTTCACATCCCCTGCCATAGGTGAAGGTGGTACAAAAAGTGGAGATAATATTTTACTCAAATGTAGGTTTCTAATATTTTCTAATCTCCACAAGTGAAAGGAAGATACTGTATCGTGTATCAGTACAAATAACAGAACTGAATAAAACTGGTGCCCGTGTTTAAGCATCTCACATACTAACAGAGGTTAGAAGGCCTATAATTGCATAATTTATACTATAGAAGGGCAAGTGGTGCTTTAATCATGTATATATCTGGACTCCTGGAGGCAGCAAATGGTCACCACTCCACACTTTAGTCACAGCTTCAGGTTAAAGAAACTACAAGTACAGTACAGAAAATTTACAAAGGTAACTACTTTAGATTAAAGAGTTGTGAGCTCTTGAAATGACCTGACAATGAATGTTGATAGTATCGAGTGCGAGGTCATTTAAAACATTATACTCGACCAACATTGTGGCACATTCAGCTACAATCAAATGCCCAGTACAGTATGTGCCAACAGTGCTCAACAGAAAATTGGACTTTACTGGTCAAAAGACTTACTATTTACTTTAAGGTGTTTGCATGAAGAGATGATCTTGGATTATTTTGGTTCCACAAGACTCAAATGTATTAAATACTGTAATCAAAACTCCTACCAATGTATTCCTTACAGTATATTTGCATGAGCAGAAGATATGAATTATGTCATGTATTATTACCACTTTAAACTAAAACACAATGAAAAATAAGAAATGCTTGACAAATATATTGGCTCACAATATGGATGACAAATGTAAACAAGAATAAAGTCTTCAATTCATTAGTTGTTAAATGATATGCCACTTCCTTAACAAGTGGCACACTTGTAAATGGAGGAAAATGTGTAATGAAAATAACACAGACGACCCCAAGATGTAAAAACAAGTTATGCATTATCATCCTAATCTACAAGATAAATATGGTTTACCATATGCTGTTAGTGTTGCTTTATACTGTACATATAATGGTTTCCTACAGGGGAGAGTTTTCACTCTCTCTCTCCTAGAGTGATCCCATATATAACCCTGCAAGTGTACATGAGAAGGGTACTGAAACATACAATTCAAGCTTTGTATTTATTTTTAGAAAGCATTGAACAAGAAACAGAGAAATAAAGATACCCCTTCTTTTCAAAATTAAAAGGGTCACATGAAAATTATAAAAACCTAAATGTGTACAATTTGGATTACAAAATCAACTCTGATAGTTTTAATGGGAGAAAATTGTTTGTCACTTCAATATCTATTGAGGGGCAGAAACAGAAGCCATTAAGATAAGAGGAATGCCCAGTTGTTGTTGTGGATTCCTACATTCAAAAATATAAATATATAAATGTATATATTGTATATGGGCAAGTCCAGGTAATGATAAATCACACTGCCAAAGTTTCAAATTGACAATACCATTTCAAATTTACTGACAGCTAACAACCCACACTCTGTGAATCAAATTTATTTATTCAAATATTTCTCTTAAAATTACAGAAGTACCCTGAAGTGGGGAATGAAAAAACTGTCACACACACACACACAAACATTATTTTATATATATATATATATATATATATATATATATATATATATATATATATATATATATATATATATATATATAATATAAATACTAATTGACAGAATGTTCTTCAGCTTTCAGACATTCCAGCAACTACAGTATAGTGTCTACCAGGAGTAATCTATCTTTATGAGGTAAAATCAACAAATCCAAAATTACCAGTTGCATGTTTTATCAATTACTGACGTTTAAGATATGGAATCCCAGTTATTGTTACCTATGTGCATACAATACAAGTATTTTCTAGGTGGTAATTATGGCAACTGTGTAAAGAACACGTGAAGCCCACCAAGTGATGGCGGCAACAGTTTCTTAATAAACCATATAAGGATGATACTGGAATATGAATTAAACTGACTTGAAGTTCATAAACAAATAGCTTAGAAGTGGATCCTCTTACCTTCATATAACATAACCCCCTTCAGGAACAGTCTTTGAGATGTACTGTACCAACTGATGAAAACTAGACAGGTCATGGAATTTATGGTACTCCTGTATATACAATACAATGTCAAAATAATTTACTCCAAATTGAGACAATGAATTATTTCCTATATTTTGAGGTGTCTTTTCAGCAAAGTTAATTTTCATGGGAAATAAAAGCATTTTATAATGTGTCACAAGGTTGTTGGAGGAACTGTTAAACAAGTTTAAGATGCTATTCATGTTTAGGACAAAGCTAACAGGTACCAAGCTAGTCCTAGGAATCTTCAGTGACAAACCTCAAGCTGAACATATAAAACCCCTGTTTGACAGTACAATATCTGTCTGTGTATATGTAGTAACTGTATTAAGTATGAATTTAATGTAAATGAAAAAAATAATGAAATGGAATTTTGACTTCATAACAGATCTCGACCCAGTTGTAAACTACTGTACTGATCCTGCTGGTAAAGGGGAGACCTGAGCCATGGACACAGCTGAGTACTCAGTATATGTATGTATGAATAAAGTGATATGATGTGTTGATACTACGTATTTTTCACTGAAAAGATGATGGTATAGGTGATTCCATAACATATCTAATATTTTGTCTGACTAGATGTGATTGTAATTATTACAAGGCATCAGAGGATGACTGAATAATTCTGGTCACTCCATGCACACAAACCCTTAAAAAATCAGTTACAGCAGATGCACTCAAGAGGCACTTAAAAAAAATAAACATTTAGTAAATCAAAAAACCCAAACGTAACTTTGGTATTTTGTCTGAGAAGACTGACCCCACATATATATATATATATATATATATATATTTCTTTTAAGGGGAATATGTACTTAGGGTTTAATAATACAGATATATCTCCATTAACATGTCTGTCAGTTTTACATCTACTAAATCACTTTAAATACACTGAGTTACTTATAAAATGAAGCAGAGAAAATTACACATGTTTAATCCCTACAATTAGCTGTTAGGCCCATTTTGCTACTCAGTATGGTCTGAAGAAGAGGCCACTCCAATAACTTTGCCACTACCATGCCCATGTACAATAGTCTGAATAAATGTTCATATACACTATCATGGAATTCTACGTTTATTACCCTCAAATTGCTTTAAAAATTACGAAAGCAACACAATCCAGGCATAATCAAACTTGTTTTTAAGTTTGGCCCATTAGCTTTGTGGCCCAACCTTGTGTTCAATTGGAACAAAAGAGACATGGAAAAAATAATAACCACAATGTTGCATACATGAAAATGGAATGCCCAAACAATTAAATAAAAAATGTGTGTGTGTGTGTGTGTGTGTGTGGGAACCATCCTCTGTCTTCTTTGAAGAATCATCACTTCACGAGTGAGAAAGTAAGGCAGATAAAGATATAAGCATCAATTCCACTCTTTACCCCAAAAACATCCAAATATCACACACCATAACATGGTTAAAAATCACATTACTATGTAAGGAACTTGTAGGGTAGGATTAAATATAAAGTAACCTTAAGAATCAGTCCTTTCCTGCATGGGTTTTTCTTCACCCTAATATATTAAAACTACAAGGATTCAAAAATGAATACTAATCTTCATAAGAAGATATACACCAGTAAAGGAGGGAAGACAAAAGAGTATGGAAAAGAGGAGAAATAAAGACATAGGAGGGAGGAGAAAAGTGAAATGAGACTAGAAAGGAAGGACATGGACAAAAAGGTGGATGAATATTGAGGAGCAAGAAGCTGGAAGTAAATGAGGGTAATGTGACTAATTTTGGAATTAACAGATACCAATTACAATTATGACCCAATAATGTAAGTGTACCTTTGAGTGTCTCCCGAGATTCACAGAGGACTACTGAAACTTGACCAAGGCAAATTGCAATAAAAATTGCAAGGGCAATTAGAAAAAATAAAATACTGCACTGATACTGAATTCTAATATTTACAGTGTGCTAAAAAGCTAGGTTTCAACACTACATATTCATAATTCATGGTGCACAATCTTCAAAGTGGGTAAGATGGTTAATTAGTTGTATTGCAAAACATTAACATTGTGTTTATGAATGGCAACCCAAAAGACTGTCTTTCTGTATTTAACTGACACTGTGCAACCAGGCCTGAACAAGTATCAAGAACAGCGCTTTAGCAGGCAGAATCAAACTGCCAATTAAATTAGTATTTGAAAAACTAACACTCAAAAAATCCTGAGCCTTTTGATGCATACTTAACCTACATGAAAATTTTCTATATACATCCTGTCCAACATATCAGTCCATCAACTAATTCTCAGTTAATGATCGTCCATTTCTTGTAGCCTGGATATGTGTACAATCCAAGTGATCACCAAATAGTACTATGTACAAGGAAATATCAAATACAGCTAGCTAGAAAACATCCACATCCAAGTGATACAAGTGTAAATGACACAAGTGTGTTGGACATACAAAGAAGCTGAAATCCACTAGTGACAATATGACTGACTGGCTGCTATACATCAAGTAACAGCGAATTTGAACTGACGAAGAACATGACAGTGATGACGTGAATTTGAAAGAGCAGTATCACATATAAGTTTCATAACCTCCCACTGTTTCTCACTCAATCCAATGGTAATGGAATGATTAATGATAAGACTTACCATGGTCATCCAAAACCATTTTAAAGGGATACAGTGCATATATTCAGTGATTGGATGCAAATTGGTTGTGAATAAATAGTCCTTTCTATACATCAGTACAGTACTTATTCCTTAGACTAAATTAATCTACCACTCCGTAATGTGGTCTGGCTTCTCTCCTGCCGCATATTTGTCCCACATTCGCTTGAAGAGGCGTTCAAGATTTCGGGCGTAGGTCTTGCAGTCAAACAGCGGAGACTCCAGGCGAGCCTTCCACACATTAGCACGTGTAGCTTTAAGACTGTTGAGAAAGGTTTAAATTAGCATTGCAAAAAACTAAATAAATAAATAAAAATCAATATCCACAAGAATACATAAGACTTATAAAAGTTTGCATAATCTCTCACATTCAGGATTATGGTGACAAATCAATAATAATTATAAAATTAACAAATCCTGTATATATATATATATATATATGATTGGTAGCACCTTAACCATTCAGCCTATTACCATATTTTCAGTCCCAAGTGTATGTGGAACTTGCAACTTAATGCACTTTACCTTTTATTCATCAGAAAATAGCTTCCCATAATACTGGTAGACACAAAAACCAGACGGGTCAATTTAAATTATGCTACTTACTATTCTCTGTCATTTCCCAACCTGCAGGCAATATCTTCATATTCCTGTCGTGTAGTGGCCACAAGATCTGGGGTTCCCAGACAATGAAGCTGTGAGGCTGCCACTCGTGAGGCCAGTGTCTCTCCAGACAAAGTGATCATAGGTGTACCTGCCCATAACACATCCATACCTGAAAAATGGTTAATCTTGATATTAACACATCACACTCCCGTGCTTCTCTCTCACATTTTTTTACTAACTCAACTGGGACTTTTAAGTTAACTGGCTCTCCATTTTGAGGCTTTGGATGAACAAAGTGATATGTGCATGAAATTTCCTGGGTCGTCTTATTTGCCAAATATAAAATGTGAACCTTAAATCATATGATGGCAGGCAGGGTGAGATTATCACCTAACACACACTCGGCACCATCAGAAACTCCCATCAAAAAAATTGTAACAAACTCATATTTGGTAAACTTAACAAAATAAAAATGTTTAATTATGAAACTTGTCTGACCTAAAATATACTGTACAGTGTTTTTATATACAGTATACATCATAGTATAACAATGTTTTGAAATATATATATATATATATATATATATATATATATATATATATATATATATATATATATATATATATATATACACACACACAGGAGTATAAAGAGACGTGACATCAGATGACGGCCAAATTTATATTTGAAGTTTTTGGCTGTACTCGTCTTATAAGACAGTTATAAAACATGAACCTTAGTCAAATGATGTAGGTTGTTACCACAGGTGACCTAAAGGAAACTATCTACCCGTACAGAAGAGAATGACTTTCTTAATTCAAGAATAAAGCAAATTGGGTTAAGTAACAACACTTTTCCCATGAAGTTTCTTTATTCTATCGTAAAGATGCCACACTGGTGCCAGCTCCAGGATGTGTGTAGTCTGAACACTTCATAAACAATAATAACAATACTAGACTAAAACCTCAATGGTTTCCAAATGACTCCAGAATGAAATACTGTACTGTACATCATCATGAATTATTGAAGAAAGAAATTGTTTGAAATACTTATAATGTAATTTAAGAATTTTACCAAGCTAACACCGAGGGTCAGAGATCAACACTTTATAGTGTCTATACATTACTTTTATTGATAAACTGCATTTTAAATAAAAAACACACCAAATTTTTATACCATATTGAAGAATGCATGAAATTATTTATTATGCTGTATAAGATGTGCTCACTACCACCAACTACAACCCCAACACCATAAATTTATATTGTAGTAACATAACTGTTGTTCACACATTCAAAACAAATCACTTAGTTTATGCTCTTTGTTGCAAAATGAAATAATCATCTAAAAGAAAAAAAAATTAAATTTCAGGGTTATGGACAAAAACCGAGCTGAACGAGTAACACTGTTTAACCAGACTATGAGCTGGAACACACAGTAAACAAACGTGGAAAAAATTATGGTAGCATACAGGGGTGGCGGGGGCGGGGGGAGACTCTATAGATGCACTCGTTATTTCCTAATATAAAATGAGAGAATACAACTTTTGCAGCAATAAAAATAAAATGACAAAGAATGAAGGAAAACAATTTGAATAAAAATTTCTGGTCACCTTGCATTAAGCAGGGAAGGATTATTATGTGGATGAACCATGAATAATATTATCACTCCTAACACATTCAAAACAATGAATAAAAACCAATATGATTAAAAGTAAATGACAATGAAATAAAATAATTGTATAATTTTACCTGTGGTATGGCCATTACATAATGGTGTGTCTAAACAAACATCTGCTAACTGTCCTCGACGAACATGTTCTTCTTTGGCAGCAACATTAGAAAAGATAATTCGTCCTGGTCCAACTCCAAGGTGTTGTGCCTGGGCTAAAATGTTTGCTTCTCCATGAGCTGGGAATCTTAACAGCCATACAACAGATTTGGGCACCCGCTTTAAGATCTAAGAAAAATAAATACAGCACATTATTTTGGGAAATGCAAAAATGTTTATAAACAAAATATCAAGGATTTATACTAGGAATTCCACTTTTATAGGAAACCAGCCAAGGAGCCCCTAATTTTACTGATCACGTCTACTGGTTGCTTCCCAGACTAACCCATGAAACTAATGGTTGCTATTAACTTAAACATTTAGTACACCTCATCCTGCTTTCATTAGAGGGTGGCACTTGATGCTATAAAACAATTATGTTTTCAACTCCTTGAAGAGTGGTTCTGGGAGGTGGAATTTTACTATACAGGGTGACAAATAATGTAAATAAAAGGATATTAAACAATATAAAGTACACATTGTTCATAGTGGACAGATGGTAGTAAAGGAAACAACTAAGAGATGAAGCAATCGCTTTACGGGACACAAAACGGAGAACAGCTGAGCGATTCCCCTCGCTGTGTGCGCTAACTTCCGGGCATGTAAGAAATGTTTATTCCTTATGTTTTTGACATTATGATTTTTTTTCCACATTCTGTATGAATGATTGTGTGAGCATGCAACAGAGTAAAAAAAAAAATATCTACCCAAAATTGAGTTGAACAATAACTTAGCACACAGCTCAGCCTCACCCACTCCAAGTGTTACTGGGTGACGATTCGGCAACTCAACCACACAATTACATGCCACCTTCACGGTTACCTGTACTGGTGTTCATAAGTCATATGTTCGTAGCTCTCGCTTACTTTTTTTTCTTTTCTTACTGGTATCAGCCCACCCGGGCACAGGTTACTGACCCAAATCAGGGCCGGGGGGGCGAAAATATAGTAATAATAACAATTCATTAAAAAAAAATATGAAATAAAAATGATAATAGTAACAATTATAATAGACAAAAAAAAATATCAAGAGTGAGAAACAATATATGTATGTTGTGTTGTCAAAGTAAGAGAAACAATTGAGACCCTGCAAATGTGTGTAAATGAGACAGAAAGTCAGATCAGCAACCTGGGACTTGAGTCAAAATTTTCGTGATGCCATATGGCAGCAGGGTCTACCTAATACAACATTATGCTTCCAATATCTTCCCTGACAGGGAGTTGCATTACCTATAGTGCTTTTTTTGCTTTTTTGTTTTTATGACAGCACATACCCCGCCAGCTTGCAGCTTGTTGGCTCATACATAACATTCAATGAATATTGATATATCGCAAACAGTTCCATATATAGCTGTTAAGAATGCCCAGTTCTGACTCACTTTAATGCCGAATTTGATGTCTGTAAAGATACAACTCCTTGAAAACATTAACATCAAGATACGAGTGGAACGAAGTTCGCAATAAAGAATATTTACTGTCTAAGTCACAAAGAAAGACTAGCTTCTTCCACAAACAAACCATCCTCTGGGCGATGTGACACAGTTCAGCTGCTCAGCCAGGCAGTCACCGGGGGTGGATAGTGCCTCTCAAGTGGGTTACACGTGTTACGTCATTCAGAGATTGCATTGCCATATTTCAGAATATTATGAGTTATTGCACATCGCTTTTTCATAGCAGTGACAATGCAGTAAAACCATTCGGGTAGCTATCGGACAACAACCATCGTAAATGTGATCCGAACCATCGCATAGTGGTACAGGGTATTTGGTGTTAATATTTTAACATCGTAAAACTGATCGAACGTACATCAATCAATCATATACGGGTAACAGTTAACACCTGTCCCTCGTAATACATTAAACTTCTTTAATATCTCGAAAGACCAATCTACAGAAAAAAATATATATAAAATAAATGTTACTGCTGGTTCTGTTATTCTTCCTTTATATACAATTCCCCAGAGGAGAGTCAATTGCTTCAGTTATAATCAGACGATATGACCCACCAACACTTAGATTGTATCAAACAGTTGAACGACTTAACTACAGAGCAAAGAAGCTCCAACTCGACCTGGAATTCCCGACAGCTTGCCATCAGCAGAATATCACGCCCAAATTCTTAAACTTTAAGATTCTCAACCACCAACTCGGGGTCACTCAAGTCTCCACAAAAGCTACCAGTGCCATTTTCTTTACAATGAAATTGGAGGTTTGATGATGACATGACATTTGTCAAAACGTTACCAAATACATGTTGCTGTTTATCCATACATTTATACTGTTCTTCATCCTTACACAGACACACATATAATTATTGTACATTATGTTTCCTTACATTGCACCACATTTGAAGAGTTGAAGGGTCAATCTTATACAACTGGTTGAAGTTGCAGTAGATGACAGCATCTTCAGGCAAACCATACTGTTTACGTGCAGTAACCAGAATGTTCTTAGGTGGTTCCTCTCCAGTAGCAGCTTTATTGTTCATCTGTATGGTGGCCAAGCCATTCTGCACAATGAAGCCATTCACCGTGGCTTGGGCCAAACCAGTCTGAATCATTGACTGCAAAGAGTTTGAATAGTTTTTTTAAGAATGGTTACTAACTGCCATGCTAAAAGACTTAATGTATTGCCCTCTCCAGTTCAATATCACCCAAAGTGGATATCACAAGGCCAGTTATAGCTACTCTTAAACCAATACCAAGCCAATGTAGATAATTTATATAGTTACTCAACCAACTAATGTATAAAATACATAATCTAATTATATTCATACATCCAAGCCTTTTCCTACTATGTGGAAGGAGCCCAATCCTCTGGTCTGGTGGGATTCAAACTGATTCTCTTGAAAGGTGAACTTTACCAACTGAGCTGCAGACCCACTCTCTAAGCATTAAACATACAAATAAAACATGATACCTCACCTCAATAGGTGCTGTTGTGGCAAGTTGAGCAACAGTTACTGCTACTTCTACAGAATCTTTGGTAGTATTTGGTTTCACCACTTCCTTGACAGTCAGCACTTCAGCAATCTCAATCAAAGGGTTAAGATCTGTTGTATTAATAATTGCCACATTATCTTTGATGGGCTCATTGTTCAGCAGCTTTGGGTTGACCTGAAAAGTAAAAAATGATGCCTCATAACAATAATGGAAAAGGAAGAGGAGGAGGAAGGAAGGTGTATGTTTAATGCAATTAAGGAATTAATGAATATCATTTAATTTACAGCATCTGAACCAGGCTGTGCAGATTATGTGGAACATTATTTACTTGTCCCTGGCCAGAGATTTTTGACACTTGCTTGCCGAGATTATTTTTTTATTTGCCCTGATAAATTTACTGTAAAAGTTAAGGGGAGCGTCCAGCTGAAAATACAATGAAAATCGGAAAATTGAGAAAATATTCAGAAAAATCCTGAGAAAAGCTGTTGCCTATGGCTATCTGCCGATGTCATTTTGATTGCGTAATTTGTAATATTTGTGTAGCTATGCATGATTGTTCTACCCCCCTCCATTTAAAGGGTCCTTCTGTTTACATAACAAAAGTTGCAGGAAAGTATAATAATCTGGTGTAAAGTAATACCAATCACTTGGTAAAAATCAGTATCGGGCACCTCATCACCCTAAGAGCAGAACCAGAGTCTTGCATGCCACAGTTACACACAAGAGAAGCGAGGGAGAGGTTCGACCGTCTGTTGCTCTCGCACCACCCTATTGGCCCGTATCTCAGAATGAGTTTTTCTAACCTTTAAATCTCTAAGGCTCGGCCAGTTATGGGCCCATTCTAATAAAACAATAATTAAGTGGAAGAATAACATTGTGCATGGCTGAACATACAGGTTTTCTTTATACAGTATTTGCTGATTTATCTTTATAAATACTGTATTTGGAGGAAAAGGTGTTAAGTTAGGAAAAAATTCATGCACCCAAAACAAAAGCAATAATCAGAAGTATCTATATGTTACATTCAAGAGTAGTAAATTACCTATACTCCACATGAATTTCAACGTAACCTAGTGAGAAGTTATGGAGAAATAGGAGTTTGAAAATTGATAAGAATATAAGGGAAATATCAGGTACCAGGGATTAGGGAGAACCAATTCACGGGTATAGCAACAATGTATCTGGTGTCCTAAGAAACTGACAATGATTGATCAATTATTAACGAATTTTGTGCTTCAGTCGGACGCTCCCCATAAAATAAGCATCCCAAAGCATTCAAATAAATTGCGTGTGTCAACTCACACATCACTTGTGGCAGTAACTCATCATGTGATGTCATAACCCCTGTCACCTCACCTCTCACCTACCCTACCTACCAATCCCCCCCACCCCACCATAATCTTGTGTCAGTTAGCAGTAACACATCTACAGCCTTTGGCTTGATGGTTCCTTTAAAATGTTGACAACTTGACACTGACTGACTAAGAGGCAGCTTGATGTTCACATAAATTACCTGCACCTGACATACGGCATAGATCACTAATCCTGGTACACTGCTGACAAGCGGCCCATTGACAGATCTCCCCGGTTAAACATGTAGGGTCACGCATCACCTCACAAATTCCCATCTAGATATTGAATTTTCCTCTTAAAATATTAGCTTGTCTGCTGGGCAAGTGCTGGGCACATATTCACACAACCAGGATCACATAATTGCAGTGAACCGGGTACAACCCAATCTATACTGCACTGAATCTTCCGATATATTATAAGAATACGTTGTACAAATACAGTAAATACCCTGGGTACTGGACCACCTGAGTAAAGACACGAATCTTGGAAAAATTAGTTAAAAATGTGAAAAATTATATACTGGGTCAATATTATTGTTGTGGTGCAACACAGCATCGAGCGTGTGGTCTCGCCTGCAACAAAACAACAGCACTGTATTCAGTCTGCACTTGACAATTACTCAGTGCAGACATGCTTGTTCTCTTGTGACATGTTAATAACACATTGTAAGAACAATACCCAAGCAGGTACAGGGGGTAATGTACATTCGGTTAAGGCACCAAAGAGCAAAAAACATCTTACTTAAAAGGGGCTACCTATGGTTAGCAATAAATTCTGTTCCAGAGATAATGCATACTGTAAGTGCAACAATCCATTTCATCTCCACTGACAGTGAAAGTGGGTACCATACACACCTGCATAATCTTCACTACACAATACATGTCACCAGACAGCTGTGTTCTTGAGATGGCTATGCATGTTGCCACTGATTCAAGTAATAAATTGTAAAAGTTGTGTGAAAATCATTTCAGTACTCTTATGTGACAGAAAGAAAGGAAAATTATTAAAAAAAAAAACACAAGTGTGAACAGAACCCCAGAGTGGGTGGTGTACGGATGAGTCACGCTCTCCCCAATGTAATGTCAAGGCATACACAGTGTAGCAGCCATGTGGCTCTAAAGTAAGCTGATGCCTGGCTCGCTGAACTAGTCAACTCTCGGCATCACCTGAAGGATGGTTCATGGGCGGAAAGAGCTATTATTTGTACATAAAATATGTGCAAATGTATTTTACGATATTCTATGAGGCACTGAATGAGACAAGTGCCCCCCACCCCCAACTGAGTTATAGTATTATCTGTACTCCCCAACCTTTCCTTATCTGAAGAAAAACAAAACTGCCTCAGAAGCATAATATCTGTAAGGCTGAGAGCCATATTAGTGAAGGTAGGTAAAAGTGTCTCTACAGCAAGGTGGACGGGGGCCAGCTCCCACTGCACCCAATCGTAGCCTCTCTTGCTCATAGTGACTCATTATTTTCCAGTTTCTTAGCTAGAGAGAGTCCAGGTATGATATGTGATAACATTTGAACCTTATTTTATTTTCCAACCGGCAAAAAGGAGGGAGTGAGAGCCATTGAGAGAAAAACTAACAACAAAAAGGAGGGTAATACAAGTCATTGTTTACTGAAATTTTTCTAATAACTAAAACTACCTGCATTTTTTTTAATTATACTTTTTGGCATTTGGCCCCCGGTCAAAATATTGGTAATACTGTACCTGGTATTGTTTGCCTTTATGAAAACAGTACAATGACCTTTGACTTTCTGGTGTGGGCTCAATACATTATTGCTTCCATGTAATGAAAATTATACCTTAACAATGCATATTAATGAAACTGCAAACACTACCCATCAAAAAACAATGCAATTATTACAATAAACAATCTTTTCAATTAATGACTTTAGTATCTGCAAAATCAGCTTTAAGAGTTCTACACAATGGCACTTGAATGAACTCTATTTCTTCATTGATTAAAAAGTTACATAATTTTGAATTTTTCCAAACTTTAAGCACATTTTCTCGATTGTGGTTTTTGGCCCTTAACATCTTGTCACATTCGGCGCCTCATATTACATATATTCTATGGTATATGTAAAGGGCAAATTAACAAAGAATTGGAACCTATTCCCTTTTACTTATTGTTAAATCTACCTATGATAACGAACTGGATTTCACGAACATATACGCTTCATTGCCAAAGGTATGCTGCACATGTTCACTTTATCTCACATTGCGCAAGGCCATCCATGCCTTATACATACGTACATCAGGACTCGGGAACCTGTACGAGTTTTTATAATATTGCTGGTTGTTGTTTTGAACAGTTGTGCCTCCCTGCTGCTATGTATGTTCAAATAATGGATTCCTTCTGAGTGCTGTAATAACGTCCCTGTGGCTTAATTGGACCGGTACTCGGATTTTTTTACACACCCACACATTCTTAAAAACTACACAATCCAGAACCACACTCTCCATTGTTTATACAGTAGTAACAATAATAATACTTACAATAGAGTCAAGAAGAACTCTTTCTTGAAGATGAGGAAACATGTTTTTGTGATCACCAACAAAGAAGGTGTCAGGCATATATGAAAGCTTCTCACTATACTGTGATGCCACCCTTAATGGTGAAGTGATACGGTCAGTGATGAGGTAGTCCATGAAAGGGGCTCCACTAGTGCCTGGGTAGCCCAACCACATGACCTGAAATTTTTTTTTTTTTTAAATAAATACAAAATAATAATGTAAAAAAATATAATATAATTCTGCAAAATAAGAGCAAGATCATATACTCTGTAGTTCCTGCTTATAATTCTTCCATTTCAGTTGAGGACATTTAACTCCAGGCACAGGACCATAGATATATTCAGAAAAGAGTAAAAATCACTCTAATACTGTATTACAAACTGGTTCATGCACAATATGAAAAGAAAAGAGCCACATGTTCTTACCACAGGGGCTAAGAAAGAGTCAAGAAAGTGTGTTGGTGTGTGTGTGAGGTTGGCAGATTGAAGTACTGTACACAACACGGATTTGTAGGCAGTATGAGGTATATGACACTTGTTTTATTTTGTTATCATTTACATGCCTACCTATCACAATTCTCTCTTGTATTACATCTGCCAAGCACTGTATTCCAAAGTACAGAGTATAATCATTAAATACTTACTTTTGCACAATTTTGAGTCCATATACTGTAATCCTATTGAACATACTATTCAATTCTTTGAGCAGATACATTATTTGAGAAACAATTTAATCTTAATAATACACAATCAAAAATTTTTTCCACCAAAAAAGTTTTTAACTGTAATGGCAACTCCCTAATTTTAAATGGTGTCAAATTCATGAAACAAGAGCTGAATGTTTTACTACATATCAACTCTTTTAAACAAAATCTCTATATTGATCTTCACTATTACCGGACTGCTCCACAGATTCCAGTACTGTAGCAACTTTCTATTCCCAACAAATTGGCTTTACTCTACTGTATATACAACTCTCTACCAAACCCCTCCTCAAATATAATACTGTAATACAACACTCTAAAATGAGTTAGAAATAAAGAAAATATAATATAAAACTACAAAATAAGAACAAATGAGGAGTGGCAAGTTAACTGTGTGTGGGAGAAAATTTAGGAAAGGCAGGTTACTGGCTGGACCGAGTGGAAAATTGCCCCTCCAGTCCCGAGACCCCCTAAGACAACAGTATGCAATATCACCATAATTCCCATATCATTTAGGTTCATTTGGTGCTGGATCATTTTACTGTAAAGTAAATCAATAATTTTTCTGCTCAAATAATCCCACACTCGGCCTCAGATGATTTATCGTCATATTAAATATCTGATGCTCTGTTTATATAGATGAACAGCTGACCAGCCAGCAGCCAAGTAAGGAGCTGTTTATGTAATATAGAACTACTTTTTGTACAATATCTGTGTTTCTGTATGATATTTTGTGTTTATTAAAGTCTCGTGTTACCAAACTACATTTTATATATAAAAAAATCTGGCATTGTGACAATTTATCTGGACTAAAAATACCAAACTATTTCATTTATGTCGAACAAAATTCGGTATAGGACGAGTTTCTTGGATTTGTTTTATATAAAAAACAGAACTTGTACAGTATTTTAAACTTTATCCAATTATAAATTACACGTACCTGAACAGGTGCAGGATGTAAAGCAAAAATTTCATTACGAGCGCCCTTAGTGTAGCCATTCATATTTACAAGAATGTGGATACCATCCTGATTTATACGGTCAGCTGCTTTGCCATTGCACGGAATTTGTGAAAGGTCAATAAAGTGTTCAGCCTCCCTGTTAATTTTACTCCTAGAAAGAGACAAAATAATATATAATTATTAGTAAAAATTATAGGTTACACACAAAAAACATTTACAGGGGGGTATATTAAAGTAAAAAAATATTTGAAAACTAAGGGTTCTACATTGAGGAAAATGGATGAACATTGCATTCATTATTTGAACAAGCATGAACTTGTTCACATATATCTTATAAACTATTGTATCTTAACAGTATTTTGTGCCAAAAGTAAATACTGAAGGTACTTTTATAAAATCTCTTTTCATTAATTTTATTTGCTCTAGCCTTTCTGTTATTGAACATAAAAAATTAAATACTGTACCTAAATGTGGTACTATCATCTGGACTCAGAGCGTAGCAGAATATTTCCACCCGCGATCTATCGTGCAGACCAGGGATGCTCTGCATTAAATGTGATGTGGGATGGTTGCCAAAGTCAGATGAAACATAACCTACACGTATACGTCCTTCGGGCGTCGCCTCTGATGGGTACTTGTAAGGTTGTTTGTGCAGAACATTAATCTGGAGGAAAATGTAAAATGGTCAATCACGATTTCAGCAAAAACCGTACACAAGGTAAACCAAACCCACACACAAAAAAAATAGACAAAATAGAGATTACAGTCTCTCCCCGACTTACGACGACCATGGTCATATAAAATATTTGTTTACATTACCTATTTTCGAGTCCTGGCGTCAGTGATCGCGTTGTGCACTGACAAAATTTTTGTTTGGAAATCCCTTTAAAATGGCTGGCAAGCGTAAAAGTGAGAGTTCTCGTGTTGCTGAGAAGAAAAAGACACCCATTTTAGAATTTCTATGTATTATTTTCGCCTTTTCGACTTACGACCTGGTCGTCAGGATGGAACCCCGTCGTAAGTCGAGGAGAGACTGTACTTTGCAAGTATAAATAAGAAAATTCATATTGTACAGTACTAAGGCAAATTAATGATGCCAAATTAAGTTTACACGAGACAAAACTAATATCTACAGGAAATATGCAACTGTACGGTGCATCATTGAGCGACATTCCAGATCAAGTTGTAAAAGAAAACACATTCTTGGGATAATACACAATCCCTTTGAACTACTGTAAAGGTTCCCACAGGTGTGCAACCAAGATTCTCTGCCACTTATAAATCCCAACATCATTTAATACATTATTAATTTATCTAAAAATATACGACAGTACAGTCAGAAGCAGTAAATGCTACCCCCTTCTCCCCAGTAGCCGGAGCCATAGCTAGTGAAGGCCAATATTGACAATGCAGCATCCCTAGACAAGACATTTCCAAAACTACCCATCAACATTTAGACGGGGGAAGGGGGAGGGGTATCCACTCACCAGGCCTTTGCCTGCCATGGCTCCAGCTACTAGGATGGGTGGGGTGGCAAGTACTGCTTCAGAATGTACATCAGTTGGCTTTGGAAATTGGTGGTAGCTCTGACACTAACAGCCCTTTATCTAACACAGTACCACCACTCTCAAGCACAGGTGCTCCTCTACCTACCAATAGGTTACCTTCCTGAGGCTTGTTCGTAAGTCTAACTTTACTCTCGTAGACACCGAACATGTTGTAAAAATATAAAAAATGTAAGAATTATAACCAGATAAAAAAAAAAACACGGTAAGCCAAAACGCTGAAGCAAACTCGACTCCCTGCACCCCCTTTCCCAGCATTCATAAACCATACCATCTACCTCTCTATGTTTATAACAATTGTGCCAATACAAAAATTTGTATACTATATAAATCAGGGATGTCAAACATGTGGCCCACGGCCCACTGGCTGCTCCAGCTGCACCTTGAGCAGCTAAGTAAAAAGTTGAGACTATTTGTATCGGATAATACTCTTTTATTCTATTGACTCTTATCTTTTCTATTGAGTCTGTTCAAAGGCAACTGCTTGTAGGAAGTTTTGTGAATCTCAGTCCAGTACGCATCTGGTGCTAGAGCGACGGCCTGCTAAGTGTTGTTAGCCCTTTGACTAGTGGGTTTCCTTCACCATAATAAAATGGTCTGGTGTTTGCTAGAACAAAATACTCAGTGCAACAGCACCAATGAAAGAGCAATTAGAGATAGTTTTAATGATTAATTGTGCTTCTAAGTATGCAACTGTACGAGTTGTGAGACAGGCCGACCACTGGCGGCATACCGGTTTTAGACATGATAGTTCTGATGCAGGGGGCTCTCACTTGGGCAGTCACATGGGTACTAGTCCTGTATAGTCACTCAAGGCAGTTGGAGCATTGCAAATATCAACAGCAGTGTCCATTGTTTTTACTTTTGAGCCCATAATCATGTTATCAAAGAAAATAACAATTAATGACGAGCATTGAGCAGTACAGGGAAAGTGGAAAATCTTGTACGTTTTTATTGAAATGAATGGAAAACCAACATGTTTGGTTTGTAAGCAACAGGTTACTGTTGCCAAAGATAACTACATTCGTAGGCATTACGACACTAACCATGCTCGCAAGTATAATAAATATAGTGTCATGTTACGTTAAGACAAAGTTAGAGAGTTCAAGCAATCAGTATTTAAGTGCTCATCAAGTCAGTGATGCTGTAGTTAAGGTAAGTTACAGGATTGCCCATGAAATAGCTGTCTTTCCAAAGTCTTTTTCTGAAGGAAAATTTATAAGAAATGTACGTTGATGGCTTCAAAAGAAATTTGCCCGGAAAAACGTCAAGCATTAGCAAACATTAGCCTCTCAAGAAATACAGATGCCGAGAGAATTAATGAATTATCAGAGAATATTAACAGTCAAATCAAATACAAAGTTAAGTCCTTCAATGCATTTTTTGTTGCATGATGAAAGTACCAACATAATTGATGTAGCACAACTTACAGTTTTTATACGTGGTATAGATGAAAATATGCAGTTAACATAAGAGTTTGTGGAACTGGTACCAATGAAAGGAACAACAACAGGTGATGACATCTTTGCGAGATTGGTGGGGCACTGGATAAGTTAGATGTTGACCGGGTACAAACTGAGTCTGGCTTCAGATGGAGCACCGCAAATGGTGGGTAGAGAAGCTGGTGTGACAACAAAATTAAAGGATAAACTATTAGCTGTGAACCCAAACCACCAATTTCATAATTTCCATTGCATTATACATAGAAAAGTGTTGTGCAGTAAAACATTAAAGATGGATAATGTCATGAATGTTGTTATAATGACAGTGAAATTTATACAAGCACGAGGTCTCAACCACAGACAGTTCAACTTCTTTTTGGAGGAACACACACGGACTGCCACATCACACTGATGCTCGCTGGTTAAGTCAGGGAGTCATATTGAAGCGATTTAATGACTTGCATAGTGAAATACATACAGTATTACAGTATGCTTATGGAACAGAAAGGAAAGGCTGTGCATGAATTTAAGGATAATGAATGGGTTCAAGATCTAGCTTTCACAGTGGATGTTACAGAGCACCTAAATTACCTGAACACAAAAATGCAAGGACACAATAAATTGCTAACAGAGTTTTGTGACTGCATTCATGCCTTTGAGATGAAACTGCACTTTTTGAAAGGCAACTTGCAGATAGTAATCTTTCACACTTTCCGACCATAAAGTCCCTGCAAGGCACACCTGAGCTTCATGTTGATACCAACACAAACAAAAGTACTGAATCAAGATTTCCAAGTTAAGGAACGAGTTCCAAGTGAGATTTGCCGACTTTAAACACCCTTCAGAAACCATTCGCTGTCGGTGTTAATGAGGTACCAGAACATCTTCAGTTAGAACTAATTGAGCTCCGGTGTGTTTCTGTTTTGAGAAACAAGTTTTCAAATGTTGATAATGGCACATTTTATCAATATGTGGGGCCAAATTATCTCAAGATTAAGTGTTTTGCCTTGACGATTATGTCCATGTTCGGAAGCACACGTTTATGAACGGCTCATTTCTGTAATGAACATTAAAAAATCTTGGCTTTGTTCTCAACTTACTGATGTGCACTTGAATTCAATACTGTAGGTAGCTGCAGCTCAATCATTAGCTCCAAACTTTACTGCATTGGTCCATTCCAAGAAGTGCCAAGTATCAGGAAGCAGCAGTAGCAGACACTAAGACTAATCAAGGTAGCCAGCACCTCCAGTCCTGCTCCTGTATCCACCTCCCTCATTTTGCCGCAATACTCCCCAGAGCTCATAATTATGTTACATGACCCGCATAGTGTGAACTCATTAAATCCCCAGAGCTCATAATTATGTTACATGACCCGCATAGTGTGAACTCATTAAATCTGGCCCGCCATAGCAAGTGAGTTTGACACCCCTGATCTAGATGAAAAAATTAAGCTAAAACCATGAAGGAATAACTAAATGAATGTACAACACAACTGCCATTTGCATAGACCCCTGAGCGACGGGGCTCCAACACTCTGCTTCCCCACTCAACCTCCAAAATTTTCCACATAAAATTTTTTTATTCTCTTCTTTAACCTTATGATGGATATTTCTTTTACCTTTTTTTGCACATTATGTATATTATTGTAAGTGTAAGCAGTCCCCCGTCCTCCAACACAAGATTCATCTGCTACAATAGAAGTCAGTGCAGTGTAAATGTATACTGTATTGTTGACATTAACATTGTTTTTGGAGGGGATTTCTCGGCAAAATTATGGTTGAAAGCACCTCGGGGGAGGTTATGCAGAAGTCCTTATTTTCAAGAAATTAAAGGTTAATAAAGATAAATATTCTTACCTTTTCCATACAGAGATTTGCATGCCTGTTGGCAATGGCCTTCCTGTATTCATGGGACAGCGGATACAGCATTGAGTGGTGAGGATGTACGGACGGCAGACGATTACGCTCTAACTGCTCACCCACAATGGCAACTAATTTCTTCATGCGAGCATCATAATCAGTCCAGTCACACACAATTTGTAGACAATGAGCAAGATTACAGTAGGCATCAGGGAAGTCTGGCTTTAGCTTCAGTGCTGTCCGGTAGGACTGTGGAAAGATAAAATTTTTTGATGAAATCCCATTTCATAACTAAATCATGAGGAGGGGAACCATCATCTAACTAAGAACTCCTAAATTTTCTGAACTACACCTAGTAAGTGAAAGCCTTATTGCAGACCAGCTGTTTGAAACAAGAACCAGTCACCTTCACAGAGTCATAAACCAAGAAGGTTCTACTGAGCCCCAGATCCTGTTGCTGGTATGGGATGGACACTACTGAATGAATCACCCTCTCTAAGTCCTCTACCTTTTTCCCACGTTCCTTGAGTTGTAGAGTTTAATAATTCAAGTATAAATCAAAAGACCTTTGCAATTTATTATAAGGTGAAGGGCTATGGAAGAGGACTACCATATTATTGATATGTAAATCACAATTGGAATGTGTCGACTACCACCGACCTATCAAACTATTAAGAGGCTAGTGAAGGTTTTATTAGTGAGTTTCTAATGAGTAATATATATATATATATATATATATATATATATATATATATATATATATATATATATATATATATATATATATATATATATATATATATATATATATATATATATATATATATATATATGCAGGTGGCCAATATCATTAGCCTTCTACTCACCTGTATAGCTTCTGGAATATTACCAGAATCCTTGTGGATGGAGGCTAAGTTGGAATGGGCATCAGCAAAGGCAGGGTTGATTTGGATGGCACGTGTATAGCACTGAAGGGCACCTTGAATGTCTTGCATTTCTTTGAGTGTGTTGCCCATATTACTATTGGAAAGATATAAGTTTTTTTTTATTTGAGTCCTGCTCCCTAAGAGGTTATTAACATCCAATATCAAATTCTCACTGGCTACATTTTACAACCTACTTTGAGTAGGCTATGGATTATCTTGCCTAAAATCAAACTATATAAGAAGGAAACTTTGGTTTGTGGGATCTTAAATTAGTTGAAAATTATCATTAAAACAAAATAGACAACGGTGAATTTTAAATAACTACACAGTTAAAAATTCTATGGAAATTTTCAAACAAACAATAAATGCAAAATGAATCACAGACTAGTTAAAGGGTGCATCCATAACTGAGTCCAAATAACCAAAGACAAATGCCATTTATTTGTTATCAAACACCATGAGCAGACATCAAATTAAAATAAGAATTTAGGTCATCTGGTTTAAAGGAATATTCAATTTAAACTTCTGCTTCTTCCTATTTTCATACAAATAGTAATGAGATATAAATACTAGTTCCTGAAAAGTGAAGTGAGTGAGTAAGGTTAATATCAACTAGAACATACCTATATGCATCAGCAAATGTAGGCTGGATACGAATGGCCTCCTTGTAGTGCATAAGAGCTTCATTAAGTTTACCCTGTTGTTGAAGTATAGATGCCAAATTGGAGTGTGCAGCAGCAAACTCTGGGAACACCTCCAAAGCCTTGAGGTAGAGGCGAGTAGCATCTTCAGTGTGACCCTGCAAAACAGTAAACTGCAAATGTTAAAATTTTCTCTCTCAAATACTATAAAACTATTTGCACATTAATGAGGAAGCACCCATCTTAATGGAGTAACATACAGTGCATCAAAGCTTATTACCAAGGTTAAGAAAACGGGGACAGTCATCTTGTGAGAAAGAGAAACAAAGAGAAAGGAGAGAGAGAAAGAAAGAAAGAGAAAGAGAGAGAATTTAGTTCTTATGTATAAAGCAACTAATCTATTAATAAAGTACAACATGGGAATCCTTCAAGAAGTGATGTCAAGGTCATATGATATGGTATTGTTAAGAATCACTCAGCATTCACTAACCTCAGTGTACAACATCCTCTGATACCAATTTAAAACATGTGTTCTTATATATCTTTAACTTACTCCAGTGACCCAGTTATCTCTGCCCCGAGCTGCCTGACTGACAGAAGAATCAAGATAATGTAATTCTAGGAAATTTGGCACATTATGTTCCCTTGTTGTAATTATTTAAAACAAAATACAAAACCAAAAAGATTAACAAGTTACCTGCTCCCTCTTGATATTTGCAAGGTTGTTAAGTGAATCAGCATGAGTAGGACAGAGGCGGAGAGCTGTGTTGTAACATTCCTCAGCTTCATTAACCTAAAATGAGAAAAACACATGAACAAAGATACAATACACTACAAATGGCTGAAAATAAAAGAAAAGTGTAAGAGTTCCAGATCACATTACACAGCAAACCCTGGCTGTTATGACCTACCCAGTACCCATCCCTTCCTCCAAGAGTTTCAGCATAATTTCAACTACATTACTGTACGGTACGGTACGGTACAGGAAAGTCACGAGAGTTGACTGTAAACTACTACTCCAGGAAACAGTGAAAATGATGCCGTGGACAAATACTGATGCATCTAGTACCTCGACCATGTGCATCTAGTACCTCGACCACGTGCATCGAGTACCTCGACCACGTGCATCTAGTACCTCAACCATGTGCATCGAGTACCTCGACCACGTAACACACCATCGAAATGGTGATTTTGCCAGGTGAAAACCGGGGCAATAGGTAGTTTGGTAATTGATAATGGTCAAAAAGGCAAGTTGGAAAAACATCGAACAGTCAAATCTCACGACTTGCCTGCACTGGCATATTTTTAGGGTCAGGGGTCATCAGTTGCAAGAAATAATGAATATAATAATAATAAAAAGTAAGTGTGCAGTTACCCTTTTCTCAGTTCACAAGCAATGCTGTGCACAGTGTGTTGTGCTCTACAATCATTATTCACTTTCGCTGTTACTGTGTACCCTAAACAAAGTACAATATTACTCTATAATCATGGCAGCAGAGAGAGAATTATGGGTAATTGGGGGATTGTTCGGATGAAATTTGTTTTATTATTTATTAAAACATGGATTTATATGACATTTTAGCAAATTTTTAAGGATCATCTAAAATTGTTTCCATTTAGCAAGGTGATAAGTTTTTTTTGCTCCTTTCTTTATCGTCAAAATACTATAGAAAGCTTTTTTCATGAAAATTATTTGTGCTCTTAATGATATAAAGATGATGGACAATTATATCCATTCATTGACAAGACAAAAATATATCCCATAAAAAAGTAAACCCATTTTTTGTTTGGAATTTCCATCTAATTAGTTACAGTAATTTTTAGAATTCCCCACTCTGTCTAGTAAATAATATTGTCCTATAATTGATGAATCCAATAACGTCAGAAAATTGAAAGTGGCCCAAGACCTTTTGTAGCGATTTCCAATTATATATGCAAAATGTTTGTTTTGAGTTAAAAGCCTTCTAAGATCTACAAGTTCTTGGTCAAATATTCACAATTTGTGGCTGAACGCATTTCTTAACATAAAAAACTATTAAAGTTGTGGAAATATCATTTCAATGCTCTATTATGGCATAAATATACAGTATAAGCGGGTTACCCCACAATTTCCAATTTCAAAATCTAAATTTTCATGTCTGGTGCAAACTATAGCATGTTTATATCCAAATTAATCACTATCTTATAAGAATCCCAGCAATGTAAATTATATTCTACCAGGTCAGTTCAGTGACATTTTATAAGAGAAAATAAAAAACACTCAAAAGAAAAAATAAATAAATAAATACTGTACTTCCCTGGACCTCCCGGCACCAGCTGTCAAACACATCACCGCCCCCCCCACCTTCCCAGCCAGGGTTTGGTGGTTTTAGGCTTAAAGTTTTTATTTTATATAATATCACAGACTAAAGTTAGGAGAATATAGTTTGCATTGATAGAATCCTTGCAAGACAGCGAAAAATTTGAATAGACTTCATATATTTTGCACAAAAGATAAAAATAAATCACCTGTATCACATTACAGTAGTGATTTATGAGTTCCAGTGTGTATGTATGTGTATATATTGTGATTTAAGGGCAATTTAGGGGCGTTTCTGACTTTACGCGAAGTCCCAGGAACGTAACCCTCGCGTAAGTTGCTTGTCTACGTACTGAAAAAGAAAATATACAAGGAACCTCCGAGATACGGAATCCCGGGTTACGGAAATTCACCCTTATAGAATTTTGAAATTATGGCAAACAATTCGCGATGCAGACAAAAAACTCACCCTTACTGAATTTGGGTAATTATTTAAAAAAATCTCAAACAAAAATCGTGACATATAAAAAAAAAATTCACCGAAATTATAAAATTTATTTCAGGTGGCAGCTACAAGATGGCTGCTCAGTTTGAATTATTTCCCCAGTTTGTATTCAGTTATGCATCTGTTTTACTGTGTACCCTTATTCAAAATGGGTGGAAAAAGACCATCAAATTTGAGTGACAGCAGTGGTGATAAAAGATTCCATAAATGAATTATGTTGAACAATAAACTTAATGTTTTAAGGAGGTAACTCCCATTAACTCCAATACACCACCTCACCTAACCTCACCACCTCCAGCAGCACTCAACATCATTTCTGGTGAGTTAAATTCAAGTGTATGCATTTATTATCATGTTACATCATGAATGATTCATTGTTGTGTCTATAATCATTCATATACAGTATGTGCTGGAGTTACGATTTTGGGCTGCCAAAAATTTCCATGGAAACGTGGGTTGCCTGTACAATAATATAAAACCATAAAATAAGGAAAATGAAGAGTGGAAGGTGAATTCTGTGTGGGAGAGGTGGGTGGGGTGGCTGGCTGTCACCCCACAACCCCTTTAACACGACAGTATGCAGTGTCACCATACTGTATTCCCATATTATTTAGGTTTATTTGGCGCTGGGTTAATAAACATTTTAAAATAAAAAAAATTTCCCGGAGTAAAAAAATATTGCATCGTATTCAATTCCCGGTGCTTTATTTACACAGCGCGAACAGCTGACCAGTCAGCCAGTTTGGCCCCACTATCCAATGCCGAGCTGGCAGTGTCAATTTTGACATGTTGGTGTCACTCAAAGGATGATTATGATGAGGGAAGAAGCTGTTTATCTATGTTACAGTAATGTTTTATGTCTTATACAGTATGCCAGGTTTACTGTTTATTATAGTAGTTTTTTCAGGGCCTCCAGCACGTAACTAATTATTTCCATTTAAATCAATTAAACAAAAATTCCTGAAGCCTTTTAACACCTAAAACACAAATCATCACAACTCCACTGAATCATGGTCATTAATTCTATGCTCTATAGGTCTCAGAGGTGAATGTCAATTATCCTTAAAATTCAACTAGTATTCATACAAGCTAAGGGATGTTCAACAAACCAATATATTCTATTATAAAGAGCATTACATACACTACAGGTCTTAATACTTTTCAAACCATAATCTATACCTATGATGTGGTATACACTGCACAACATTAACAAGAACTATGCATCGTGCTTTAAACTGACCTGTCCCTTTTCCTTAAGGGCATTTGCCAAGTTGCAATATGCATCTGGGAAGTTTGGTTGTAATTCAATTGCACGGCGATAAGTGTCAATTGCAAGGTCAATGAGGCTGAAAGTAACATAAGACAAATTAAAGAATGCAATAGGCTGCCATTTGAGAGCAAATTAGCCAGTTTAAGTTCTTGGTAAACGCAATCTATAAATATGACCATGAATGACTTCACAATTTTATTCTTTACTGAAGCTTCCATATAGTACAAGCTATCATTCCCTTTAATTCTTCATTTTTTTTCTGGCTTTCCTAAAATCAACTTACTTTCCCTTAATTTAAATATTCTGCACAGATACTTCAAATGTCTTTGTTAATCCTTCCGAGCAGTAGTTAATTCTAGCCCAACTTCCAAAATATTACTAGAATGGCATCATTGAAAATTAAACGAGAAGAATTATTACAAACTACAGTATACCAAACATTTAATATAAAAATTCTAAAATCTAAAATTCATTCAAAGGTTGATACAAAACTCAACAATAAATATGTAATGGAAAAGTAAGTTTACTTGTAATTTTATATAGTCACTATGATTTTGTTTACCTTACAGTGTGTCAACAACACTAAACTGAGTTACTACTCACCCTTGCTCATAGTAAACACAAGCCAAGTTTCCATGGACCACTGCATGGTTTGGGGAAAGATTCAGTGCACGAAGGTAAGCTGCTACAGCCCTGGAAAATACAAAACAAGAACTCTGATTAAAATTTTGCAGCAATAAAGTTTTTTTTTTTTTTTTTTTAGCAAGTCTAAGAAACTCAGAAAGAAATTTTCTAATTAAGTATTATGTAATACATTGCATGCTGCTGCATACTTTGATAACTATATAATATGCTAATATCTTGTACAGTAGCAATAAGAACTTCAATCTTCATGATATACACACACACACACACACACACACTGTTCAACTTTTATGATTAAGTTCCTGTATTAATCATACAATATAAATAATACACATAATAAAATTAATATATTACAATTACTACAGCATGCCCTACATGTCTTATTAACATTTCTCCATGTGTGTTGGATGCACGACTCTTAAGAAGCACAGTAAACCCTCTAATTCATGAAAGTGTATTGGAAAAAAATTTATAAATAAAAATAATAATAAATGAACCTTCAGCTTTAAATAACAAAACCCACCCTGAGTGAACATGTGACTGGTAGTATTCTGTAGTGACAACCTTTTTAATGTGATTTGCAACAATTTAAAAGTTTAACAACCTCTTGCTTCAACAACAAAACACTACAATACTAATGTGCTTTTTGTATGTATTAATCATGAAAAAATAATAAAAAAAAAATTAAAGACCCCAACATATCATTATATAACACACTGGGTAACAAATTTCCTATAGGAACATTAACACGATTGTGTGTGCTTCCTCATATAACCACTTTGCTGCACCATGTAGTGGTCTACCATGAAACCTCACGATGCTTCATTATCCTCTTAGGATTTTTCTTTTGAAATACAAGACTTGCAGGATGATATTAGTGCATTTTTATGTTTCCAAACTGGACAGAAACTAATACAGTAACAGCAATACAGTACCTACACTGGATATCAAAAGTTGTGCATGTGAGGGGATAGTTATTCTGGGATTATTTGATCAAGGTTCTTTATGTGACATGCATTTCCAAATGTGAAAGTGTTTGCTATGATAATCCAAATAATGTAATTGTATCAAACTTTAAAAAACATTTTCTTTTGTCAGTTACTCAACATGTCACAAACCATATCCCATAAATTTCATCAATTGAAGGGTTTACTGTGTGTATTCTAACTATTTCAAAACTTCACCAAACCTATAACCTGGAAAATTAAAGCAAGTTTCACTAATTATTTGGTAAGAGGCAATTCTTAAAAGCAACATACAGTATTGTACTAAGGTAAGCAATTACTGCCAAAGACAAGAGGAGTACAGCAGGTGATGCAATAATACATGCTTAAAAGACACATTAAATACTAGTTTCCTGCAGTGATGAATAAACTTAAAAAAAAATTATACAAGCAATATCTGTTAGCCAGAACTCTCCAATAGCTAGAATTGAAATTTACTCAGAAATTTTCCCCCAAAATTCCAGTTTTGGAAAGAATTTTCCAATGGGTCTATTTTCTGGAAAATTCTGAGAAAATGCCAGATACCCGGAAAAATTCTAGGGGTAAGGGATATTTTCCGGGTTAGAGTCATCTCGTTACCAGGAAATCTCTTACCCCCAGATGTGCTCTGCACCAATTGTTCCGGCTAACTGATATATATATATATATATATATATATATATATATATATATATATATATATATATATATATATATATATATATATATATATATATATATATATATATATATATATATATATCACACACACACACACACTAACAAATAATAAGATACCACATCAAGATTTCATAACTTTTGACACATATTTATGGTTTAGTTGAATTCACCTAACATAAGCACTATAAAAGTTGGTGTTTGATGGGAAGTCCTATCCACATTGCAAGTTATCATTTTCTACTAAAAAATTATGAAGAAAATATTGAAAGCACAATGAGACTAAAAGTAGCAATTCTGAAGCATTCATACTATGGACCCATCTCTCTTCCTATCTCCCTGCACCAGGGAGAACATACTCACGCACTCGAGCAATAAGATCGGTACTCAGCTTTTTTATGAGGCCAGCAATGCACCCTACACAGCCATTTTTCTGGGTAATTGTTCGTATATCTTCTTCAGGAGTAGCGATGTTCACGATGGTATAAACGACGACACACTGATAGTCCATCATAGTACACATCCCATCCCAGGGTTACATGATACAGTTATATATCTAGCCCAGTCTGAGTAACAAAGTTCTTTTTAAGTTTGTAAATGTACTTTTCAAATTGAATATCATCTTCCATCCACTTAAAGTCATTCTCTTCACTTGTGGTAAATCTTTATTTATATAATGATTGTCTGCTGCTTCAGAATCAGACAAACCATTACACTCTTCATATTATTCAATCTTGAATAATGAAAATCAACATTAATGCCACAATTGTAAACCCATTTTAAATCCATTTTTTTTTTTCAATATTGATGTTAACTTCACACCCAAGTAGGCAAGGTTCATGGCCGCCTACCAATTTTTGATTTCCAAACTCAGTCATTCTTGAATAGCAAACTTTTCAACTTCCCGACAATGTGAAGTATTTCAACAAAGAAAACTATAACCAACAAAACTTTCTAGCACATACCACCTAATCTTAACTCAAAATAAACATTACTGTACTGTACTAGCATACCGTACTACAAATGGCGAGCTCAACAAAAACCGTAATCCCATTCACGTAAGATATAGGTGAGAGATGAGGATGCGTGGGGGCAAGGGAAGATGGATGCATCAGGATGCTGAGTATTATGAACCTGGAGGGTGTGGGAGCAAAGACCTTGGACAATGGGACAGGACAAAGTTCACATTACAGGCAGAAATGAGTTGATCATGAGTGAAATTACAAGAAATTACAAGAAGAGACAGGCTAATAAATATTTCTTATATGGAGTACAGTATATATACCTACACAGCAAATATTTAAAACTGATGCAGTATCCATTATTTTACTTAACTAATACTGATCCTGTCTATAAAGAGCAGATACAGTACTGCAACTTTTATTTCAAATTTAACAATCTTAGTTCCTTCAACATCAATAACATCGTTTGCACACTCAAAACAGCCATTTTCTTCTACAGCAAGGGAGCTCAAAATAGGTAACCATCTCTCCGAAGAGCAATGATGACATTTGGCTTTCCTACCAATTAAATTACAAACGAGCATGTGAATATATATATATACAGGGTATTGTTTGTATACAAATGTCAAATGTGAATAACTATTCTCTCTCCATAAATGCTTATTAGTACTGTACATTACAAAGATATTTTGACATCTATTAGCCACAAGGTCTTTTGCAAACAGTAGAAACACACTTATGGTGAACTATGCTCTATCATTAATATAAAGACAAACTTACAAGAAGGATAAACATTTATGGAGAAAAAATAACACCTTAATCAATACATACATAAGGAGAAGCTAGAGGGGAGAAGAATCAAGGTGAGGAATAATGTAAGAGGGAGGGTGAAAACAGCAACACTGTACGGCTGTAAAAAAGGTAATGTGACACTAGAATCTAATGTTGGGGTACTGCAACTTCCCAAAGGTAGTGAACTTCAAGAGATAATTGGAAGCATAAGAGTAGATTCAGTAAAAACCCGAAACTGAGGAGGAACTGGAAGAATCATCTACGCACATCAGGTAATACTAGGGAGGATGCCTTACACTATTTTTTTTGTGAACTGTGACAGAATGAGTTCCAGGAAGACGAAACATTTCCAAAAAAATTACACTACATTTAATTTTCATAATACAACTAAGACATACACAAAACTTTCTTTAGGCACAAAAGTTTAAAAATTCCCTGTTTGACATACTGTACTTATACATTAACCTACATACTAATTCACTTTCAACTATATACTGTGTGTGTGTATATATATATATATATATATATATATATATATATATATATATATATACACACACACACACATATATATATATATAGTGGTCCCTTGGTTAACGAACGGTTCAATTAACTTAATTTCGGTTAACGAATTAGCTCCCATAAGGATTTTCAGTTCGATTAACCAAATCCTTACAACAAACACGTTTTGTTGTGTGCATCAGCTGATCAGCTAGTTCGCCAATACATTAGTTTCCAGTGGAGTAAATATCAAGAAAGTTGGTCTCTTGAATATTTCTGCATTTACATTAAAATTATTAGTCATTCTGAAATTTAGTTAATATATTGATAATATCGACAGCACAGGGAACAGGTTTTGTGCGCCCATCAGCTGATTGAATCACCCAACACCGCTTCTCAGTATAACTTGTTTACAGTGGAGTGAACATCGATTTTGTTGGTCTCGAATATTTTTGCATTTTTACATTAAAATTCTTGGTCATTCTGAAATTTAGTTAACATATTGATAATATACAGTGCAGAAATTATTATGAAGCATGAAGAAGGCATTAGAACCAATGTACTCTGTAAAGAATATGGCATGTCATCATCGACTGCCTCTACAATCAGCTGTTTGATATGTAAACAAAACTGCCGGTAATATGACACACACACCTCAAACTAAGTTAAAATACAGTATTCTATTGTTTTTTATTTATTACTGTACAGTACAGTACTGTATTTAGTTTATATTTAATATTTTGTTAATTCTATTACTGGTATACAGTACAGTACTTTGTATGTACTTTTTCTTTGAGTTGGAACCAATTACCCAATATCCCATTGAAATAATAGATTCGGTAAACAAAATTTTCGGTCAACGAATGACTCTGGAACAAATTGCGTTCGTTAACTGAGGGACCATTGTGTGTGTGTGTATATATATATATATATATATATATATATATATATATATATATATATATATATATATATATATATATATATATATATATATATATATATATATATATATATATATATATATACATACATATATATATATAAAAGACTATATAAGCAATATGACTACTGTACACTGAACAGTATACGGGACTGTAAAGTCACCTGAAATTGGTAATAAATTTGGATGTTCAAAAAAATACATATTTCGCC